AGGAAAATCGCAATGTGCCCAGATTTCAACATTTGCCAAAAAAAAGCATATACCTGCTTCCTTCAGATGGGTTTCATTTCTTCCATGTAAAACGTTTCATACAGGCGACATTTTCCTGAATGTTTTGCTTTCTAAGCCGACGATCATAGTGATGAGTAAGCTACTAATCAGGGCAACTATACAGGGATACTATAACTTTCATTTTTTCATAATTGGGAATATAATAATAATAACTAATAATAATAAAAGCGAGCACTGTAAGTTTGAAGGTATCCTCATGCTTCAAAGATATTATGCGTAGAAGTCGTAACAGTTAGTAAAAAGTTAGATCTGCTGTTCGTGTTTGTGTGAACGCACCCTATCTGCCGATTTATTTTTTTCCCTCCCAGCATGCATTGCGAAAGTTGTCATGCATATGTATCAACGCTTGTGATTGGTCAGATCACCATGCTCCTCGAGAAGTCGTCCTGCTCTCCAATGGCGGCCATATTTGTTTCAAGTCAGCGATATCGGCCTCATCGCGGGTCAAGACGGTACTAAATCGCACCCTTATCAACGTTATAAAATGTTAAAATGTAAATTAAGAGTTATAAAACAATAATATTTATCATCCTAGTGCTCTTTAATATTTGTTTCTTCACTTCTTCTTCCGGTATGGCGTACGATTGTTGGAGAAAAGACGGATAAAAATGGTAAGCGTTTCAAACAAAGACTCGGGAAGATGGCGGATGTCGTTCGCCTATTTCACTCTCTAGCCCTAACGGTCGATTTTGTATTTAATCGGCCTGTTTTAGCGTAAAACGAACTCATTGATTCGATCCTTGTTATGACGGATTAATTTTTCATCACGACTTTGAGTTCGAGTTTAGCATCATTGTTAACCTGTATTTCAAAATTCAAAATCCTCCCCCTGCCTTTTTTTGGTGCCTCATTTAATATCTTTCGCAATACTATTTCATTACTGTCGAGATTCGATACTTTGCTTCATTGCCTCATTTGTGTTTACTCCTTCAAACCCTCACTTGGGGTCTCCAACTTATTTGCTCTCGTCTAACTGTTGCTGACCCACCGCAACTATTTCAATTTTGTCTCCGCTTCCTCTCTCCAAGTCATCACCAATCGTATCGTGTCAGAATGTATGTTCCTATGAATTAAGCAGAGCTACCTTGTGACTTGGTGCTTGTGCACATTCCAGTAAACATGTATGGTTTGTTTGGACTGCCGAGACTATAAGAGATCTAACCTGAATTTTACCTCCGTTTCGCCATCTTTGACACTGACTGTAATCAAAGAGAAGTATCTTATTTGGTGAATAAATACTGTCAATTAGAGGTTGGATTGTGATTGTTCTGATGGGTCACAAGGTAGTAAACCATCCTATGTACCTTGTCGGTGTTCTCCTTCGTAGAGAACTCCCCATCTTTCTAGGAGAACTATTTTCTAACTAAAGGAGGCAGAAACAGTGGTCAACCTCTTGTTTACGCATGTCATCATTGCAGACTTGGTTGCTACTGTTGCTGTAAAGAACTTGTTCTGTAGCAATAAGATAGGTTGATATAGCTGAAGTATTAGTTAACTTAATCTATTACAGCATGTAATTTCGGGCGAGCTAGTTTGTCATTACCTCTTACCAAAGATAAGTTTCAGGGTAGAAAGAGAAGCACCCCAGAATTCATAAATCAACCTATTGATTAGAGTTTTACGAGAGAGCTATATTTTAACATCTGAGGTATTTATATTTTCAGTTATTCAAAACCAAACCAGAGCCCATACCATGAATATTTGAGTTTATCAAGAACGCTAGAGGTGTCATCAGCTAAGTTGACAGTTGTTTACTTCCGGTTTACGACGAATTTGGGCCTCTGAATAAAGCAACGTTTGCTACTATCCACACTGAAAACATCAGTCTCATGATCGTATCGCAAAAAAAATACTTATCAGTTATGATCTGCGACTTTTTTGCGGTTGTGATTTCTTTGTGGCTGAAAATTGAAGTATTACAAGGTTTGAAAGTATTTAAAAACTTATCTAAGTTTGTGTTCTTGCTTCTGAGAGAGTCGGATGTTTTCATGTGGATAGTAGTGACGCGAAAATGCCTGCAAACCGAAAGTAAACAACCATCAACTTAGCTGACGACACCTCTAGCTACTAGAGCGGACTCATTGTATGTTGAGACCAAAGTCTAACATTGTTTAGGTCACCACTCATCAGTAGTGCCATCTAACTGCATGTATTAACCTGTTTTGTGGTGCTGATTCAGAGGTAATCAGAGATGGACATTTATCTCAACATACGATGAGTCCACTCTATTAGGTACGTCGTCGAAGTGAACTTTACCGATTCTGCTTGGTTTCTTTGGTTTGCAAATGCAACCTAATTGTCCCATTGACCTCCTGAGATCGTTGAGCTTTTGGTAGAAATGTTGGGCTCTCATATGAAAACACAAGTCATCGGGTAATTCCAACAGAGTCCTACAACGCTGACCGTTTGGAATCAGGTACTTCCGCTTCCAAACGGTCAACAGTTTACTCTGACAAGGCAGCTTTAGTATCATTGTGACTAAAGTATCCCATCAAGCACGTGGTATCATCTTGGAAAAAACTAAAAATGAATATCAATATTTTCAAAGTTAAGTAATATGATTGTTTCCGTTTTTTTTAGAAAGATGAATGATGGTAGTCAAATGAGAGGAGGAGGGACACCTTCTCGATCTCGAAGTGGAATGAATATACTAGCCCAACAAGTAAGTTTTTCTCGGCCTCTCTCCAGTTTTGGTGTAGTGTAACATCAGTCTCTGACAAAGCATTATCCATTAATCTGACAAAGAAGCTACTGGAATTATCATCAAAAGCTGACCGGAAGAAATATATTTTCACATGTATCTGATTTTCTAGAGTAGTACTATCTCAAAATTCAGGAAATTTAACGGAACATTGGAAAGTCACTGAAAAGCCAGGAATTTTTCTGATTCAACCGTAAATTTTATCATTCTTTGTCAAGATTTCGAATGGCCCTGATTGCATTCCTGCACTTTATCTCCAATGCTCAAATTTTGCGCATGATGTGTCCTGTTTAAAGTATCTTTATAGGACAAAGTCAGAAATACCTAGTTCAGTTTTATCTTTCAAAGCCAGTGAACAAGCTTAAAATTTTGAAATGCAAGCTGCAAACTTTTGCAAAATCAAATGAAAAAGAAGTTGTTTATGGACAATGGCTCCTAAATTACCACAAGCATATTTGGATAGGCTAAAATTCACTCCTAACTCACACTCCAGGCAAGAAATTTGTGCACTCCAAAGCTTTCCGCTTTATTACGTATAGTACGGTAAAGTCTTTCCTTGATGCAAGTGAGTCCCCAACTTTCACAACTCAATGTGAAACTGGAAATGGACGCTGTCATGTGTCACAATGGGGTGAAGGAGGGGGGGGGGAGATGTTAAGCTCACGATCAGATAGTTGGGTTGGAATAATAAGCTGGGGTCAAGCCAAAAGATAAATACCAGTTGAAACTTCAGTATTTGAACTAGTTTACTGGTTGAATGGTCAGTTTTACTTTGGAACTCAGTCAAGTCCAATTTAGGACTTCCAGCTAATTTTTAAATTTTTTGGCTTTGATTACCTAGCAAAGTAGCGTGGGTCTAGCACTACTGTTTTCCATGAAAATATTAGGATTTAAATGAGCTACTTGTCGGAAAAAGGGGACATACTTGTATGTTCCTTTTTGGTCCGGCAGTGTATTCATTTATAAATCAAGTATATTTCGGCTCTCTAGCAAGCAGAAAGTTTGAATTTATATACCTAGAAAACACTAATAAACTGCTCAGGAGTTGAAGCTGGATATTGCTAATGCATCCATTATGTTCTTCATGAAAATTCAAAGAGTAAATTCGTCATACAATGTTTGGTTTCTGTTCTTGTCAAATGCTCTATTTTGAGAAGAATAAGAAGATTACCGCAGAAAACAAAACATTTTAACAGGAATGGACCAACTTGATGTGAAAGGTGGAACTCAATTTCTTTTATGTATTCTTGTTTATTACATAAGACAATTTGATCATAGTGAGAACTTGTCCTAAATCAGTTACTTGATGTAAACTACATTATACTAGACATTCATATTTCTACACAATCTTCATACTTTCTGTCCTATTGAATTTTGTCTGAGTTGTGCAGAACAAAGTGACCTCTATTGCAGACCTTAAGTTAATATTCTACTCCCTTCTTTGTATCATAATTTTAAGGTAAATGCTTTTTTTCTCACAGTTAGGGTCTAGTCCTACAAGTGGAGGTGCAAGGAGGTACCCTGACAGTATGCTGGACTTGAAGAATCGAAGTGGGCAGGTCGCCGAAAGTGGTGGCAGGAAGAGAAAAGCGGAAAGTGAGCTCTATTCAGAAAAGGCTCGGAACATCCTTGCCCGCAAAAGGGCGAAATTAGCAGAAGTGAAGAACCGCTATACTGATGCAGTTGCTGAGTATACATTTATCCACTTCAAAGGTGAAGTGAATGATTATGCTAATTGGAAGCGAAGACCTATGCTGCCTCAGGTAAGTTTTATTTGGAATCATTATCATCATAAGTTTTCAATGAGTCATTTTCTTTCAGTATTTCTCTCTTAGCTTAGGCTATTATGCCAAGAATGAATTATTATTGGGGTCCTTAAAGCCTTAAAAAGTTCTCGATTACACTAGAAATTTATTTCAAATTTTTCAGTTCTCAAATATCCTTCAATTCAAAGCTCGTAGGCATATTTGCTTTCCAATGGATAAGTGGAAGGAAAGTATAAAACAGAAAGAGAGACTTTAAAAGGTCAAACAATCAATCCGTGCCATCAATTAATCAAGATCAGTTGTGATTGACTGTTTTGATAATTTAGACAAGTTGCATGATTTTATTATTTTGAACTCCTCAACAAGGCCTTATAAGTTTTTGACTTCAGTTTTGAAAAGCGGCCCCAGTTCCAAAAATAGGTGTAATTGGGGCAGCTCCCACAGCTCTCCTACTACTATTACTACCTCTACCACTTCTACTTCTTGTACTGCTTCTTGGTTACTTCTAGTGATACTTTACAAAATAATTTCTACATACACGGCAGACAGCTTTATCCCGCTCAATTTTATTTCTTTTAGCTTCCTCCAATTTCTCTATTTTTATTGATTCACTGGTTTTTTTTTCTTAGGTCGTGAATTATCTGAAAACCTTCCGCCTGGAGCCCAATGAAGATCTTGTCATTCAACCACCTCCATCCGTACAGCAGCAGCCAGAGATGAGGATTTCTGGAGGTGTGCCTGTTGCTGTTTCTACCACACTTCCTGCGGCAGTTGCAAGACTTACGCAACAAGGTATGGTTTGATACTATTCAAGGACTCTCTCTGGTTTTCAGACATTTTCTCTTCGTTTTCTGTCATCCTTGTCTGAAAGTCAAATGTATTGAGAGGTGCCCAGCTGAATTGTCCAGTATTTTGGTTCTGGACTGAATTCAAGACATATTAGTAAGTGAAAAGAATTAGTTCAAAAATGTCAACTAAGATATCCAGTCAGCTGATTTCAAGTTCAGAAGTCATCAATCTAATTAGTTCAGAAATTGACCCTTAAAAGCTTGCAACTGATGTCAATCCAATAGGTGGACCAAGATTCCCCAACTTAAGTTTTAAAATCGCCCCAGGTGGAAGTCAATTTTTTTTGGGGGGGGGGGGGGGGTTTTTTTTTTGGGGGGGGGGGGGAGCGTTTTTTTTTGACAGTTCTTCAATTATGTTTAATTAATTGCGTTATTGAAAGAGTCCCTATTTCCAAGACTGTCATGTTTTTAAAATCTAATAATTCAATGTGCCATGCGCTTTTTGGATACACATAAATTCTTTGTTGGTACCTGTTAGGGGTCAGCTTTGCTCTCTCATTTTTTCTACCTTTTTAACTACATAGAACCAAGTGGACCTCTTTGAATCAAATCAAATTTCCTTTTGCAACACATAGATTCCTGTGCTCATTTCACTCATACAAGCTTACAAAGCTAATTCTGTTTTAGTTGCAATCCCACACTTAAATATGAATGCACGTCTTAATTTCCTACGGTCAGATATACCCTAAAAGAGACTGAAGTATTTGATAGAGACAGGGACTGGTTTCGTTTCTGTGCTCTAGAGAGTCACTCCATTGAGTCACCATAAAATGAGGGAAAATAAAGATGTAGAATGAAGAGCAATTTCTGAGTGAAACCGTATTCCACAATGTGAACTTTTTGGTGTCTTCTGTTGCCCTTACTTTCATGAGCCCCTCTGCCTCCCTTTGCCCTCTTTTTGACGGACTGTGCTTCCTCTTAAAGGCAAGAAAACAGAAGAATGCCCTCCAAATAACACACATGGTAGTATCATCAATGTCTGTACAAACACTGCATCGTTTCTGCTTCTTATTTCATAGTGATTGATTTTGACTAACTGCTCCTATGTCTTGTGTAAATTGAGATCCAAAACTAACCTATCTCATCACTCTTATCACTTATTTATCTGCACCCAAAATGAATCATGTTTCTCTGGAGAAATGTTCAAGTATGCTTAAAAAGATGATTCAAATGAGATATATTTTTCACAGAAAGGTGTGCACCCGGAAAGTCTAAGGTTAAAAGATATGCAAAAATATATTTTCTCAACTGAAGAGGTTTACACTTTACCAACAAGGCCAAATTTAAACCTTTACTCTGCAAAAGCCTTTTTATGAATATTGGGGGAGGGAAAGCAGGGAAGAGGAAAATTTCTTAAAGTCTACTATATCCAGGATGCTAGTGAGTCTACCTGATCCCATGTCACCAATATCTGCTAAGCAAACATTCTTCCAAGTGCAGTTGCAGTATACAGTGGAAATCAGTGTAATCATGGATTAGGACGTATTGAGAGACTAATGCATGAACATCAAATTGCTTGTTGAGTGCAGGAAAAAAGCCTAAGAAATACTTAAGTTCACCTCCAAGCACGACAATGTGTGACGCATTTTTCCCTCTGTAGCCTAGTCAAAACTTTCAGCATCGATTTCTCAAACACTTCTTGAAACTGCAAATCATCTGTTAAAACTGTGTGCACCGTTCCAGCACTAATATTTAGTCTACCTGCTTTGTTATGCACCGTCCTTCAATGATCAGTCATCACAATTTCTTGCACAGGATCCATATTCGTGGGTGCCTGCCATGAGCAGCCCCTCCCCCCCGCTCATTAATTAAACCTGCATATCCAAGTTCTCGGTCCCTCGATAAAGTGCCGCACAGCGTTTCTTTTTATTTTCTTTACATTTGCAATGACATTGGAATTACGTGTGTTATAAAGATTTTTGGCTGACCACAGAGAAGGTCACTCAAGAATCATAAGGCCGAAACATTAAGTACATTTCTAATAGTCACTTACAAGAGCAGGCCTCAATCATGCACTGAAATCATTCTTGTAAAGAATCCAGAATGTGAATTTTTACCCATCATTTGTGTGTCTTCGGCTCTGGAATTTTGTCTGAATCTTTTATCTATCGGCTGCTTTGATGATCCTCTTAAATGCCACTGAGAATTGCACGAAAAGGACCCAGAGGACAATTTATTTAATAATGGAATCTGATAACTGTGTATCCTTCTTTACAATTGTCCACCATCTCTGTTTCCTGAGAGTCCGTACATGAAAATGCTGCAGTGGGTTATCCTTTTTAGGTTAGGTTACATAGCAGTAGTAGGTATTATCCCCACAGGAAATGTCAAATGGAAGGAAATGTCAGGAAATGCCCGAGTTTTTTGCAAACCATATTTCCAATCTACCTGGACTGCCTCTAGTATCATGAAATCCTCTCCCTCCAACTTCACTTGGTTGAGAAGGGGTCATGAGTTGAAAAATGTACTCACACATCTCGTAGCATGTTATGAGAATCGGAATATTTTCATCCCACCCAAGACTACAAGAGCAAGAGTTGTTCAAGTGTCAAAGAAGCAAATTGTGGAAAATTGTTTAATGATTCAGTAATGTATGCTTTGACAGGTCAAGTTCCAGGAAAAGTTCAGGGTGGTCGCCATGGCATGGTATTTGCCAGTCGACCAGCTAACATCTCATCTTGTAGCACTAGTTGTGTTCCTTTGGTCCCAGGTACCTATCGCATCCGTACTGTTATGTTCTCTTGTCCCGTTTGTTTTTCGTGTCCTTTTTTTCCAAAGCTGCACTTGGTTGTCTTGCACTGAATGTTTTAAAAACCAGGACTCAGCATTTCTCTCTGTTTCCATTTTTTAAAAAATCTGTGAAGGAAAATTCCTGAGAGCTATCATTACCCATCTCCTAAATTACAATTTTGATTTGTATTGATCGTTCGCTTAGTTTTGGATAGAACTTGCTGTGTAGAAGCTTTTTCAGTTGAAGTTTTTGAAATGGCTCACCATTTTATTTTCTGAAAGAAAGCCGCTGTTACTGATGTATTGTGCTAACAAATCAGCCATTAGTATCTCAAGAATGTGACTCTAATTTATCTTGATGCCCTCATCCGCATGTGGTTTATATTTTTTATTCCTTTTTCCATTATAATTTGATTTTCAATTCTTTCACTCTCTTCTCCTTATTTCCGTGTAAAATTATCTTGCTCTCATTATTCATTTCCCTCCTTTAGTTGCCTCGTTGTGTTTTTTGTGCTTGTGCTGCCTTTCACCAAACAGAAGCTTAGCTTCTTCAAGCAGAGCCGTTTCTGCTATCCTGTGGCAACTTTTGAGACCATGGAACATGGATGTGCCATGTTCTCTGGATTATGAAATGCTACAGACTTTTTTTCGTGTGAAGTATTAAAAGTGGATACCTGTATTCAGTGCTTGTTATCCTTGTAGATTTCTGGTTTGTCAGACGTTTAGTCACTGTCTCAGGTGGTCCGAACTTGAAAGGGTGGTACTTGCTCATTGGCCCAGAATTTGGCATTTTTGGAAGTCTTGAAGTTAATTTTCTCTGTTTTAACCAATTTTCTGAACTTAGGTTTGTAAAAGTTAATGGGCAGAAGCTCCCAAACTTCCTCAACTTGATGTCAAATTTAAAGGAACGTTGTTTCAAGTATTTTTTTCTATTGGTCTTTAGGAATCCTAATAAAAGCTCTTTTTTTCCACCGGCTCAAGGGTATTTACTTTTACGTGCCAAGCAACACACTAACTCTGACTAATTTCCGGAGTTTAAGGATTGCGTAGAAAAGAAGGAAATAGTACACCACAAGTTCGTCACGAAGTTCTGTTTGTGTTCGATCCCTGTTTGGAGCATCGATTTCTACCTTGTAAAAATAGGAAAATTTTTGAGGATCATTTTTCATTCCCAAGCAGGACTCCTGCTAGTTGACCATTTTTTCGCTCATAAAGGTGTAAATTTTATAGAATTCATTATGATTCAGCCCTCTTCAGACTTCTTCCAGGTTTAATTGTGGCCTACACCAAGGTTGCCATTTACAGAAAAACCAGGAAAACTTAGAACATTTAGGAGTAACGCAGGAAATATTTTCCTCCCTGCATGAGATCGTCTTCAATGAACGGAGTAGATAAGACAATAACTGTGTGTCTACAGGTCTGGAAATGCAGGAATTTTATGGGAATTTCATAAGTTCAGGGCAATCAAAGAGGAGACAGGAAATTTTGTAAATGAGATGGGAAGTTAGTTGTTTGAAGACTTTCAACTGGGTTTCGAGCATTTTCACTCGTAGGACATGCTTTCAAAATATTTTTTTGCGATGCACCAGTGAGGTACATGCACTCTGTTATCGAAAACTTCTCACTTTGAAACTTCTTGACCTCCATCTTGATTTTGGCTTTTAACTTCAATTTTAGACCAGGAACATTTTCTTCAGCAACATAATATCAAATGACAAAATGTTTTTTGTATCCGATTCTTTGTTTCTCTCCAAGACTTTTCTCAAAATACTAGCAAAAATGAAACCAAAATCATTCAGAATTTGTCCCATAAACCGCGCATGCAATGTGAGCTTTCCAACAGGCGTATAGAGTGGTGGGTAGTTGATCCTGTTAGATTCGAAGAGACAAGCGCCGATATGGTCTGTTGTGTCCTTTCATTTCAGTGTCCTATCTGGCCATAATGGCCGGATAACTTACGTCCTGAGGTAATGTGTCATGTAAAACTTGCAATTACATTAATTGTAGAGACTACGCCACATGTAACGAAAAGTGTTCCTGTTAAATAAGGTAGAGACCCACATATTTTTTTTTTTACTTAAACTGTACTAACTTTGTCAGTTTTTGACCGAATGCGTTGATCTTGGTTTCTATCAATAGCCTCTATCAACTCTTGACAGCTCAGTTTTGAATTACATAACCAGTCTCGGTGCGTTTGGTAGAGCATATGTATTATCTTTTCTCTAGCATTGAAATCTCTAATGATCTTTTCAAACTTTTCAGGTGGTACTCCTTTGGATCCAGAGCATTCATCAGACAAAAAGGCGATTGGGTCTCCAAGAAAAATTTCTGTCTCAAGTCTGTCTCCTCGGCAAAATTCTCGACAGCAATCTGTGTCCTCTTTCTGTGATAAATCTATGGCTAGCTCTGACCAGATAGCTGAAAAAGCAAAACAAGTAAGTGCCTTTTTATGTTTTGGTCATGTGTCGTTAACCTTTCATAAAAAATTTGCTCTCTTTTCATTCTCATTGAATCAATTCATCAATAACCCTCTCCCAGCAGTGCTACAAGCCTTTCGAATAGTTAAGTAATTCTGTAAGTAATGCCAATGAACACTGCACCTATTAGTATCCCAATTCTTTTGGCATTAATTAGTGAAACTTTGTAAAGACACTGCATTTCTATCAATACAGTGAATGAGGCTCATGATGACACCCCATCTACCGATCTCCTGAATATCCTTGATGGTTTTGAGGCATTTGTCTGAGATAGCCTATTTTTAGATCTATTCTTTTTTTTTTTTTTTTTTTTTTTTTTTTTTTTTTTTTTTTTTTGGAGGTGAGAGAAGCAGCAACTAATCCATTCTGTAAATATCTTATCAAAGGAGGAATGAAAAAAGCTGTAACTTTAATAGTAGGATCACACCACCTACTAAAGTAGGCTAATAATTTCTGCAGTAAATCAATAAAACTGTGTGAAAATCAAGTTTTTTCTTGTCTAGTTCACTCTCAAGCTTCTTAGTGAGCCCTTCTCATCTTTTGAATCCATTCTTAAGATCCTAATGAACCTTACATCCTAATAGCAATGCTTTTTCCTAAAGAAATGTTTTCGATGATGTTAATCTATCTACCGATCTCCTGAAAACTTTGTTGATGGTTTTTTGAGGCATTTGTCTGAGAAAAAATATTTCTTAGTTAATTTGAGACTATTTCCTTCTAGGTGTTCAATGAAAGATATTTCTTAAAAATGTATTGATTTCTAGTGAGGAAAGGGAACTGCATTTTATCGTCTGTAAAAGCATCCCTTAGCATAGTCTGAGTATGGAACGATGATGACTTTTTTTTTGTTTCTTGATGCTCACTGATGGTCAAAAGGCATTTGAAGTCTGAGTCCAGCTATGCAAACAGGCTCTCCAGCAAATTAGAATTATCACTGTTTGCATGTTACCCTAAATATTTTTAGTATCCATCAGCATAACATGTTCAACACCTTGCTTGCTCCTGGATTAAAGTATTTGTGAAAAATCTTGCAGCATCTGTTGGGGGTCAGTGACTTTAGACATATACTGATGAAACATTAACAGATTAATAAGAACTTGAAGTTCATTCTAAAGTCAGAGCCAAAAAGTGATGAGAATCATGTGTGCAGGAAATTATTGCAACACCACACTTTTCTAACACGCCACTGTAAGGCAAAAGATCTATGAGTCCTTCCTCCCAACTGTTTAATTCTCTCACGTAATCTTATCTGGTGCACACTGACAAGATCAGAAAACAAACAGCGTCCTTTCCTTGCACTAGTCAATTCTATTTCGGCAGTTCCGTTCAATTTTAGATTTGACTGCTTTTACAGGAGCATATCCCTTATCCTCAAATGAAATGCACCAACAGCTTGTTTTCGTCAATTCCCCCTGCCATCCTCCATAATTCAGCTTTTCCTCTTTGCTCCTGCTGATCATTATGTCTGCCTGATAAAAAAGAAAAAATAATTTGCTGTAGGAAAGTTGTCCTAGGACAAGATATGTGAGCATTTTCAACTAACCCAAGTATTTCACTAGGGATAGCAAATATTCTGCCCATGAATAATTACAAGGTAAAATTGACCAAAAAAATCAAAAACGGGGAATTAGAGGAAGCAAAAATGATGATACTTAATTTTGCACCGTAACCAATTTATTTTTTCAATGTGATTTGAATGAAAATTCACCCACTTTACCTTTAAAAACTATCTGAACAGCCGCAAACAATTCAGTGAAAAAAAAAAAAAAATTCAACCCATCCTATTGTCTTTGTACTTCCGCATCATTGATTACAACTCAAATACTGATGTTACCTCCTACCCACATGATTTTCCATGAGTAATTTTTTTACTCCTATCCCAAAATTATTTTTATGTTTTGAATCAAAGTTTGATGAAAACGTACTAAGAGTCACTGGCCCATTCTCTGGTATCGGAGCTTTCCTTGATCGCAGGCTTAGTATTAGACATCTACATCCTGTAGTCTTAAATCTCGCAAGAATTAAGTTTTTCAGTGATTCATTCAATTTTTTACATACTTTCAGGAAGCATTTGTTCTTCAAAGGATTAGTGAGTTGCAGCGTGATGGTCTGTGGGCGGAGAAACGGTTACCAAAAGTTTCGGAGCCTCAACGAGTCAAAGCTCACTGGGATTATTTGCTAGAGGAGATGGTCTGGTTGGCAGCTGATTTTGCTCAAGAGCGCAAGTGGAAGAAAGCTGCAGCTAAAAAAGTAATCCTCATTAAATTTTTTTTCTGAATTTCAGAACCATTACTTGAGAGTAATGAAGAAATATGTATAAGAAAGAAAAAATTAAATATCTAATTTTTTCTTTCTTATACATGTTTCTTTTAAATTATTCAAAGGGAAATAAAAACATAAAATGTTAAATTTTTCTGAAAAAACAAGAAAAACTTAAATCTGTTAAAAGGCAGAAGTTTTTAATATAAGTTTTATGACTCTTCACTTGCACGGTTTTGCCCTATTGAAATCAATGAAGTGTTAAATACCCGAAAAAACAGAATTATATAAAATAATTCACAATATTCTAAACAATTAATAAGGGACTGCAGCCCAAAATCAATTTCGAGATTATGACCAAAATGAGCAACAGCCACAAAGTCGAGGCTCATAGAAGACAAAAAATTCATAGGAAAAGTATTGACTGGAAAGTATTGCAGTATGAGTGACAAACTGTCAGGCCGTTTCCTCAAATCCAAGAACCTCGTGCTACTCTGCATTGTTAATACACCACTTCCACACATGTTCAAGCTCATCAATTCGATGACTCCTATCGTCAATTTTTTCCCCCTTCACATGTTGTCTGCCTCGCTGTTCTATCCGACCAACATTGATGATTTCTGCTAAGGCCAACCGGGCGTTAACATATCCAATTTCTCCTTATCAGTTGAGCCATTCAGAGGACGCCACTGTCGCTTTCTAGGAGACTCTGTCAGCATTTGAATTTTTAAGGGTTTTTTCTTTTTATTTCTGTGGCCTGGCAGATGAAGGTGCCAAAACACCAGGCAGGCAACTTGTTAATGGATTACATCCCTTCATTTCTTAGTCTTCAATTAACTCAGCAAGGGTTGATGAAGTTCCTTGCCTTCCATAATTTTTGTGTGAGCTTGGTTCGCGTGACTGGAAATATGATCAACTCCTGAACTCAGTGGTTTTCATTGGGTCGTTCCATGCCAGTTGATAGGTCAATTAAAGGTTTTTACAAGATTTTAACATATTTTTCTCATATTTTTCAGTGTGCAAGGATGGTCCAAAAACACTTCCAAGAGAAAGAAATGGCAGCTCAGAAACAGGCCAAAGCTGCAGAGCTCCAATTAAAAAGAATTGCCAGTTTTATGGCAAAAGAAGTAAAAACTTTCTGGGCAGATATAGAAAAGGTATGGAGTTTTTCCTTCAACTTCTGGTAATAGATTTTTTGATTTATTTTACACAACTCTGAATGAACTGTATAGCCTCTTTATTGAAATAATCTCAAGGTACTTTCAAGAAGACGATCCTAAGTGATACAGTTGACCTCTCCAAAATCAACTTCCAAGTCAGCAAAAATCAGTTTTTGTCTGCGTGAATGCACATTTCCTGCTCAGAAACAAACCAGAGTCAACTTGAGTCCAACTAATACCGAGCACCGAACTAATTTTAGTATATTTCATGATAGAGGAACCCTCCTGTGAACTATTTTTTTACTATATTAAAGGTACCCTGTGCCATAAGAGGAAGAAAATAGGTGAGAAACCAAACTCAAGTAATTTGCCTATTGTAAAGGTTGGTGTATAGGTTAAACCTAATTTGGCCTGTGTTGATCGTGGTCATTTCATCACCGGAAAGTTTGAGGGGTTTCAGGGTTAATGGTAATTTTGGAAGGTCTTAATAATTTCAATGCGTTTTTGCAAAATTTTGATGAGAACATGTGCTATAGTGCCTAATTTTTTACCCTGTTAAGTGGTCCATTCAAATTAAAGCTAAGGCTTTCAAAGTTTTTTCTGCATGCAATACAGAATCCTCTTGTTTCCCACGTCAATTTGATTCATTTCATCTGTTTCATACAATTTTTTTTTTAAAAAAGTTTAACAAGTTTTTTGTAAAATTGAAGTTTTGACGTTTGATTTCTCCATCCTACAAAAATATTTTTCCATCCTACAAAAATTTGTCTTCGTCAAATTTATTTTTTTCCTTTTTACAGTTGGTAGAGTTCAAACAGAAAACTAAGTTAGAAGAAAAACGGAAGAAGGCTCTAGACCAACATCTCAGTTTCCTTGTCGATCAAACAGAAAAATTCTCATCATTGGTTGCCGAAAGTATGAATAAATCATCGAACAGCAATGCAGCCACACCCACTCTTCAGTCTGCTGCGTCATCCCGACCGTCCACTCCTTTACAAGCTGGTGAATCAGATGGTGAGCATCTTAGTTTTTTTAAACAATTTATGCTAGCTCAAGTAATGGAACTTATAATGTAGTTTGCATTAAGAAATAGGGATCGGATATTAATAATTAAAATAAAAAAGAAATCTTCGAACACACTTTCCCCGTGCTCAATTAACTTCCTGAATAGAAGACAAGAAACCCCTCAACTCAACCTTTCCTTGAAAGTAGTGACATGATATAAAGGAAGTTTCTGTAACCCTCATAAAACCTTATGAAAGCTATTAAACTCTTTTCAGAGTCAGTTAACACCACATAGCAACTCTCTTGCTGTCGTAGAAGTCTTCTGAACTGGACTGAAATTCTTTTTCGACTAAATACCTTATGGAAAGAACTGTCAATCGTTCTGGAAACATTTCCTATATATATCTCAAGACCGAGAGTTGGATTTATGTGATCTAATTTGATAAGTAGAAATTACAGCTAAACTCGATAAGTGACACATTTTTTCTTCATTGTTCCTCTTCAAATTTCAGGTGAGTTTGAACCCAACCAAAGCTCAGATGATGACGAAGAAACAATCGCCAAAGCAGAACAAGAAGAAGTTGTTGACCACTCCAAAGAAGTTGACATGCTCAAGCAAGAATCAGAGCTTCCTCTCGAAGACTTCTTGAAATCACTTCCAAAAGACTATTTAGCCAACCGTCACAAAAAATTATCCTCAGAATCGGTGAGTATTCTTCTTTGTGGTATAAAATTTCTCATTTGTTGATGACACATGAAGTATTGTAAATCTAGACAGAAAAAAGTGCCGGATGCTCACTAGTCCTGGAATTATATGAAAGTCAAGGAAAAAAATTACCACTGAGTTCTCATGAACCTCTAAGTCTCTCAAAGAAGTCCTCATAGATATCATATTGGGTTTGCGTCTTTTGGAGGGTTAAGCACCCTATAACCAGGCTTTAAAATCTGGTTAATAAAGTCTTACCATGGTTCCTCTAATCACTGAAAGACAAAGACATTCCATGATGTCAATCTGATGTAGAGAAATCAATCTTGCAATGGATGATGGTTTGCGTATCATGAAACACATCCCTATTGGTAAAATTGACCAGAAGGACAATGAACTGGTTGAATATTGCAATCAATTAAATTTAATAATTTAATGATTTTTTTCATTTTTAAATATTTTTATAGGAGGAAGAGGATGAAAGTACAGAAGGTCTTGATGATGAGTACAAAACACCAGACGAAGAGTCAAGTGATGATGAGACAACAATTACTGAGCAAGAAAAAGCTGAGGGCGGCCAAGATCATGCCGCAGAAATAGAAAATCTTGAGAAAGACAACATCCTCAGTCTTGATGAGCTTATGGCCAAGTATGGTGCTCCAAGTTGTGACAGTGAGCAAGTTTCTGATGAAGAAGCTGATGAGGAAGATGTTGAGAATGAGAATGAAGAAGAGGATAAAGATGATGGTAAATTTATTTTTTGATAACTGACATTCACAGGAAAATTTACTTCAGTGCTGTCAACTCAAAATTTAGATATTAAGGAAGTTTCAAAGGGAGGCCCCATACTAGTCTAGTTTTACTTGTTTTTATGAGCAGCTACTATCCGGACAGAGACTGGGTAAGGTAGCTGAGACCATCGCTATGTACTTGTCCAGAGAAGGCAGATATTTAAAACAAATCCACATAGATTTTACAGATCCCCTCTCCAGAATCCTCTTCATCTGCGCCACTAAAGCATACAAAAAATATATCCATTATTCGTAAAACTGCGAAATAAGAGTAATTGTGTGGATGTTAAAGAAAACCCCAAGTTCTCAAAAAAGTGTTCCAAAGACATTTTCCCTTGTTTAAGGGTCCCCACAGAGAACCCTAGACATCTCTACCCCCCAGAGGAAGCCTATATCTTCCTGCTAGCATCATCTATTTTTCAGGAAGAATTACAGTATTTATAGGAGAGTAACTGTGTTAGATATTTCAATTATCATTTTCTTCTTTCCATTATCATGATTCTATTTTAATTTTTCAGGTCTTACCGGTGACTCAAGTAGTAGTGAAACAGAAGAACAGTGCATTGGACTTAAATCTCTTCTTGATCAATCTTCTCCGCAGGTGAGATTCTCAACAGAGCTTTTTCTTCCATATTGATGTGAATTGGTCAATCTCAACAATCCGATATATTTTTACTCTAAACAACTTTGATTAATGGGAGTACCATTTACGCCTGCAGGTAACCTGTCCTTTTTTTCCTGATTTCAACGCTCAAAAATCAGGGTGAGGGTTATCTGTGAAACTCACGGAAATTGCGTACCTATTTGCGTGCTATATAATTTGACCTAGTGGAAAAAGAGGGAAGGTATTTTAACCTTTAAAGGACTGTCCTTACCTTTTTGGGGATAGTGTTAAGGAAAAATTGTAGATTATGATACTTTTGAAAATTCATGGAGTACTCGGATAATTTTCCTTGTATCTTTCCCTATCGATGATGTAATAATTACAACTTTGCAGTAAATTTTCACATGTCATAGTCCCTGTGGGACTAATCAGAGGTTTTTTTTTTCTATGTCATTTCATGAATTTAATTTCATTGTTGTTCCTTATAATTTTGCAGAAAGAAGTTTCCAGCAATGCTAGTAATGAGCAGGCAGACAAAGAGATCAATGATGCAGCTGCTCTGGCAGAAAGTATTCAGCCGAAGGGAAACACTCTTTCCTCTACGAGTGTTGTGACAAAAATTCCTTTCTTATTGAAGCATTCACTCAGAGAATATCAGCACATTGGTCTAGATTGGTTGGTTACCATGTTCGATCGAAAACTAAATGGTATTCTTGCTGATGAAATGGGTCTTGGTAAAACTATACAAACGATAGCTTTACTGGCGCACTTAGCTTGTGAAAAAGGTATGATAAAAACTTAGTCTTGTACTATCTTAACTAGAGTTATGCAAACATTTAAAAGGCTCAAACTGGGCGGCTGGTTTGGGTTTGGTTTGATTGAGAAATGCCAGTTGAAAAATTCTGAGCCTTCCTGTGCGGAAGAAGATAATGCAGTCATCCCCTCTAGGTCATTTGTCATATGAGATCAATTTTCTGCTAAGTGGAATTTTTGTATGGTCCTGCCAAATTCCTTTCAGGCTAATGTTATTAATAACGGACTAATTTGGGTCTTGACACAGATATTGTTCCCTTAACTTGAATGAAGGACTACATACAGAATACTAAGAAATTTGGCGTTTGCTAAATTCTCGAGATTTTTTGGCATTATGTTCCTTTCAATTTCGCGAGTAAGATGAGTTTTTAAAATGGAACTTTCTATGTGCCAATTTTGGGAATATTTGGCTTAGAGTGTATTTTTTGGCAGATTAACTTATATTTTTAAGCGAAGAATGTAGGTGATAGAGAAGTTATGATCGTTATTTCGTCCTATGAGCCATGCCTAGTCGCACCACTATTAAATGGCCGTAAAGGGTGTAAAAAATGTTATTCGTCAATAATACACAATGATTTGGTTTGTATGCTTGCTCAGGTGCAATTTTTGTTGTAATAAATTCATCCAAAGAGCCTCTCTTCCTGTCCAGTAATTCTCCCTTTAATTTTTAAATGCATCTCCGGCGTTTTTTTCTGTTTAGGAATATGGGGTCCACATTTGATTGTTGTGCCTACATCTGTGATGTTAAATTGGGAGATGGAATTCAAAAAGTGGTGTCCTGCATTTAAAATTTTAGTTTATTATGGTTCGCAGAAAGAAAGAAGACTGAAAAGAACAGGTAAGTCCATGGAAATTTTCGAATTCATCAATTGCATGATTTGTGTGGTCTTGAAAAGTTTTAAAAAATTGCTGTTTATTCACATTTTTTTCCAAAGCTTTGGAAATGCTTTATTTTTTCGAAGACGCAGGTGGCAAAAGTGTTTGAATTTTTCTCTTCACTATTTGCCAGCAGTAAAGTCTCAGCGTTCTAAGAAATAACAAAAATCCTCTTTACGAAATCGGATTACGAAATTATGCGATTTACCTTCAAAGTGAACCATTAATTCCCAGACTGCATTCCTGAAACAAGGAAAGAACTGTGTGTTTAGGAGGAGGTAATGACAAAGATGATGATGATGCTCTTGCTGATTAGTTGACAAAAATGTCAAATCAGTGAACCAAATTGTATTTAAGAATGTGATGATGGAATACAATATAGCTTTTTTTACTAATAGCACTCTCTGCTTTGAGGACAAAATTGAGTATCTTTGATGCAATCTGTTAGTGAACCGGGAGAGAAGGGGAGAAATTGATTGCTAAAACGAGCAGTTGATTTTTTTGTTCTTCAAGAATAAAGTTCCAAGATAGAGGGTGCATTATTTATACTTATTACCTTTTTACAAATGATAATTCCATTATTTTGTGTAGTAGACTCTGTAAGTCTCTCGTGTAAAAGAAATAGAACGAAATTTACAGTTTAGTTTCATTAGTCAAGCCAAAATTCTCATTATGTTTCACCAAAGTCATAATTTAAATGTTCATGTTTCTCATTTGTGATTATAAATGTCTCAAGACCAAAGTTGTAAATTAGCGTTTGTTTTTATTCCAGGGTGGACGAAAAATAACGCCTTCCATATCTGTATCACATCGTACAAACTAGTCATTCAAGATCATCAAAGCTTTCGCCGCAAAAAGTGGAAGTATTTGATTCTAGATGAAGCTCAAAATATAAAAAATTTCAAGTCGCAGAGGTGGCAGTTACTTCTTAACTTCCAAACGCACCGGTAAGGAAAACACTTGTAAGCATGAAGGATGGTAATTTGAGAAGGCAAAGAACTCTCTGTATCCCTAATCAGAACCTAAAATTCAAGCAGTTAATGAGGATGATGATTGATCGTCCTACTTATATCAGGTTTTCTTTTTATCCCACTCAATTTTTCTTGAGGCTCCTTAAAGCACCATCAATAGGGATTTTTTTTTACCTGTTGGAAGATGCGGCAAAAATTAAAATCATTCAGAAATCCAGGAAATTGCTCAGAATTATAGGACATTGTAGGAATTTGGGAAGGGAGTAATACTGGACACCCTGATTTGTCCATCATGCATAGATACACTGTAATCATTATTTGCCACTGCAGGGGCTTAGCCAATTCCCTTCCTTTAGAATCTTCGATTCTGTGTAAAAGCTTTCTTTACTGCGTAGAATAAAATTTTGATAATTGAAATAAGAGCCAAATATTTTCAGTAACCGACATATTTTCAGAAGGTGGCTAAAAATATTTGAATTTATCTGTCCTTACAATGTAATTTGTTTTAATCCCTTGCCCTGCGATTTCCTATCTGAGGATCTCCATTCTTCAGCAAAGTACATTTTACTCTCCAGGGTTCAACTGATTTTCATACGTTGTTAGCACAAATCAAGAGTAAGCATGTCATACATTAACATATTTTGAATTTACTTGTACATATTTTGAAATGTCTTGTTGATTTTGTCACCTGTTCAGTTTTCAACAGCAGTTTCTGTCTTTTCTAGGCGGCTGTTACTTACGGGTACCCCTTTACAAAATAATCTGATGGAACTGTGGTCTCTAATGCACTTCCTCATGCCAGAAATGTTCCAGTCACATAGCGAGTTTAAGGAGTGGTTTTCAAAACCTGTAACTGGGATGATAGAGGGACTTTCTGAGTACAATGACCAAATTATTAAACGCTTACACAAGGTAACTTTTCTACATCACGTACATTAGTGAGGTTGGTTTTGGGCCCTAAATGATTTTGGTTTCTGTTCTGACTTGAAGTTAACTTACTAAAGTTGGACCAAAATGTACTGAGAGTCAATGACCTCATTGTATGCTGTTAGGTAGTTTGTGGGTGTCTATCATTAGTAAAAGTCGGAGAACGGCTAAATTTAAGAAAAATCCGTCAAGGATCAGGAAATTTTTAGTGCATCAAGCACTTTTCAACCACATGCAGTTCTTACATCGATGGTGAAACTACCAAACCATATATCTTGTTTGCGGTGTTTAACAATCTCCTTTAGCATTTTATTTTTTGAAGGAGAACAAATCAGTATCATTCCTTGAAATTTTCATGGAGTTTTCTGTGCACTTGAAAGAAAAATATCGGAAGTTTTAAAGAATTGATTGTGTTTTGTTCTCCATTTAAAAAATAAAGTATGCAGGAAGTCTATAACGTTGCAAACCGAGGTACAAGGTCTGGTAGTTTCACCGTCAACATGCAAAAATGAAACATCTGATTCAATTCATCAAATATGTTGGTTTGTAATATCAAACAAGTGTCAATTAAGTTGCGCATCATATCAGGAAATTTCATTTTAAGTATCTGGAAAAATCATAAATATATCAGAAAATTCCGAAGTGAAATTCTCGATGACCCCTGTTTATTATCCCTGAAAATCTCAGATTTTATCATCAAGATTTAAATCAGTTCTTTGTTTTTTTAGTGTTCAGTGTTACCTATTTTCCCTTCTGCCTTTCTTCCCTTAGTAGGAACCATTTATTGGGCATTCTGTTGACACATAGGAACATTCGTTTGAGTTTCTGTGAGAAAAAAGAATGCAACATCATGTGCAATCGTTTCTTATTTGTCCAAGAACTTTTAATGTGGTTTTTGCCAGAAACGAATGCAACATTATTAATTTTTAGATATGCAAATGTTTCTTTTCCTGCTCAGGTAGACTGAGTGCGAACTTATTACATCTGACGAATCATGGACTTAATTATTTTTGGCGCTGATAGTTTTAAGTGAAAAATCTATTCAACAATTATTATTAATCATCCAACCTTGCTCATACGCAATGATTTCTTTTTCTATTATCTGTGAAATTATTTTGCAGGTTTTAAGGCCGTTCCTCCTAAGAAGGCTAAAGTCTGAAGTTGAAAAACAGTTACCAAAGAAATATGAACATGTTGTTATGTGTCGATTATCAAATAGGCAGCGATACCTGTACGATGATTTCATGTCTAGAGCCAAGTAAGTTGCTTCTCATCTATCATCAGTTCAATTGTGTATTTGTCCCAGATTTTTCAACTCATTTTCTCCCAGCTCATTTCAATTGACTTACCAGGATTTTGATCCAATTATTCTCAATTAGGAAATGAGGTTTTTTTTTTCATCTGTATTTATTTAATAATTTATCACTTCGAGTTTGAATTTCCATCTGCAAGATGCCACCTTGTTTATGGTGACATTAACTGGTGGCTCTCTGATGAGAGCAATCTGTCTTTCATGCTACTATTTTAAAGAGTTGAAATAGCATCATAAAATTTCTGAGTAACCCCTCTTCCAATATATTTAATTGTCTCAAGTGATGATCTCATCTGGTTTTTTTTTTTTTTCTTCTTCTTCTTTTTTCAGAACGAAAGAAACTTTAGCTTCTGGGAACATGTTGAGTGTGATTAATGTTCTCATGCAATTACGGAAAGTGTGCAATCATCCGAACTTGTTCGAGCCCAGACCAATAGTTTCACCATTCCAAATGGACAGGATGGAGTTGAACACAGCGTCACTTGTTTGGACACCTCTAGATTACGATCCTCTCAAAGTAAGTTTTTACTTTTTCGTTTTTTCTTTTTTGTAAGCTCTTGCAAGATAGACAAGAAGCAATTCTTGTGTTATGAATTACAGAGTTTAATTTTAAAAGCTGCAGCTGTCTGCAGTGATCATAACTCCTAATGATGTGGCTTCCAGCGGCTCAAATTGGCAAGGAAGGAAATGAGCCATTCCAGTTAGTTGTGTGCCTTGCCACCAATGATGCACCAAGATTACTGTTCGTACGCCTCTTGCTCGCTGTTGCTGTAGCTTTGATATTTGGGCTAGCTTGGCTCGTGGCTGCATTTAGTGCAGTTTATACAGAATTTCCCTCTGGGTCATCAAAACAGAAAAGAAAAACCCAAGTCCTCTTGTGACAGGTTTAGTCAGCAAGTACCTATGTTAATTTTTAAAGTTTGAAAACATTAGCAATTTTGGCCTGTCAGAAATATTTCAGGAATATTAATAAATTCAGCTCTAGATAGTAAGATTTTTGCTTGTGAATGACCAAAGCGGAGAAATTTTTAATCTAACTGCAAGACATCCCACAAATCACAAGATTCTTCTAATTGATAAAATCTAGATTTTCTTGCTATAGGAGGAAAAACTAAGTTCCATGACTGTGCTCGGTTTTGCACATTGCATGATCTAGTACTCACTGCAGTCCTTGTCACATCATCAATATTTTCTAAAATATCTCAATGATATGCGCAGTTATTATAAATTGGAAATGACGTCACATCAGTCCCTTTCTGTTTGTATTCAGTGTCCCTCTGAATAATACTGGACTAGTCTACAGCATCATCTCCAGTCAATGCTAGTTGCTCAACCTTGAGATATTTACGAAAATATTGATCGTGTGGCTAGTACTAAACACAGGCTCATATTTTCACAGTTTGGTTTCCATTTTTGTTTTGCAGCACATAGATCTTCAATCTTTAAACTTCCATCTGTTAACCAACGAAAATAGGATGAATGCGTTTTCAGCGCATCGCTGCAAGAAGTATTGTTATCCCCGGAAACTGATCGAAGAAATCGACTCGGCTCCACCTAGTCCACCTCCATGCCCACCAGGAAAACTGAAAATTATCCAAAGGAGGGATTTAATGAAAGCAAAATCTATTCAGTCTCTTCCAGTAAGTAACTTATTCCCACCCCCTCAAGGTGTTCATAGTGATGAAATATTAAGTTTAAAAGTTATCAGGTTCGTCCTTTCACAGACGAAGGAATGTAACCGTATTTTAGCATTGCTAAATATCTACCTTACAAAAGCTGTTCAAGACTGAAAAAATAAGCAGCCCATCAGCGAAAATGAAACGGTAACTTGAGTCTACAGCCAGGCTCCAATGCTGCAACACGCCGTTCATGACCAACCTTGGAATACTCTGTTTCTTTTCAGACCTGTGGTTACTTTTAGCAGCCATTACCCTATCCTTAGCTGAATAATTAAGATCTGCTGTGCGCAATGTAATCCTTTATCCCTAGCAATATATTTCACCAAGCCTTTCTTGTCAAAGAAAAGATCCAAGCTCCAAGCCCTGGCCATGTCTTGTCCACCCAGAAATCCCGTATTTGGGCCTGGTAACATTAGAGATGCAACACTCAAAAACATAAATAATTTTCTGGGACTCGATTTTTCGCAATGCATTGGGCAGGGTTGCAATCATTGGCAATTTCTGGTTGAGTACAACTTTGTATGAACACACTAATAGCACACCTATAGGACCGACCTTTTTGATGCTTTTATTTTTGTGTTCGCTGTATGAAGTCACTAACAAAGCTTGCTAATTTGATTACAGGTAGCAGATAATCCATCTCTTAATTCACTAGTTAATCACAAGACATCTGCGTTAGTGAATGCTGGTTCGAAAGTGAACTGCAACAGTTCATCACCTCTAGTCAGACAGCTGATGAGTCAAACCTCCCCGGGTGTCCCCACGCCTGTGACGTTCAAGGTTGCAGGCACCAACGCTCAGCTCCAGCTTATCCAACATCAAGGACAAATCAAAGGTCTGCATCTCTTTTTCTGCTTTTTCGTCTCGGTCTCCAATACAAGGTGTTTCTGGCGAAATGCCCCCATTTCGTGCATATCCCACCATGTATAGCTTATCTGTTTGTTCCAAGTTGGAATGGGGGGAAAATTTTTTCTCAGTTATCTAATTGAGTTTTTCTTAGCCAATCAAATGACCTTAGTTTCAAGTACCTACTGCATTTTCCCAAAATAGAATGTTCAGAAAAATATGTTTTTTCAGCTAGGAAAAATACCCACTTCTGAAGAACTTAATTCTTCAGGAACCTGAGATTGAAACAACCTATGGTCATTTTAAGTTTCAGCAGCAAAAATCTGGTGGTATAAATTCCATTAGGCATCTGAGAAAAAATGTCTCCTCACCCATCATAAGGAAACGTGCTCAAGAAGTTTCAAGATAAGCTTGTCTGCCATGTCATGCTCAAGAATATGTTTTTGTAAGATCATTTTTGGAGGCTAAAAAGAAGGGAATCTTTTACAAGCATAGTGTAAGAATTAGTGGGAAATGATGTCTGTGATGTTACCGCATTTTAATGGAACACATTTACTATTCAAAGTTTCATTTTAGTCATGAAAACTTCATGGTCCCTTTTTTTTATTTCAGTAATGGGAGGCAGTGAGTTAAAACTTAAAGTGGTTGCTAAATCTGGCGCTGGTGGAGCAGTTATGAGCTCGTTATCAGGATCTCTCACAAAGTTAGCATCATCCGTGAATCAGCAAAATCAAATGAAACCAATTCTAAGGATACATTCGTCAGAGTCAGCGCAGGTACGTTATTTTTTTGTTTTGAGAATTGATGTTGTTATGGAAAGATTTAACTGGAATCAGCTCAACTACATCACATGTTGCCAATTTCTTCTGAATTCCTTTTTAACCTAGATCAAATCAGCCCTCTGACCTGAACTGTAGTGAGTATGCATATTCCTTGCAATCTATTGAAAAAACCCACAGGAAATTTCAATGTGTCATTCAGTTCTTTGTAAAAAAAAATACTACATGAAAGCAAATTAGGTAACTTGAATTCCTGTTGGGCTGCTTCTGATTTAATCTATCCATATTAAAATGTATTCCCTCATGTTGAAAAGTCCTCTACAGGTTCATTTTGCTTGGCTCTATGCCACTTTCTCCCCTGCTTAATTTTTTTATCTCTTGTCATTATCTCTCGTAGCATTGGAACATTTATTATGACCTTGTAGTCAATCCTAAATACCTTCAGTGTCTAGTTTTCCTATTTCTACGTTGTTGCCTCTGAAAGTAACTGTTTTTTGTCGTAACTTTCCAACAGTTGAAGATCAAGCTTTGATTTTGATTATGTGAGAAAGTAGACTTATTATAATTCATTTGTTTGTCTTTCCCAAGCAATTTATCTCAGAGCAAAAAAGTGGATGGAAAAAACCAACTCCAAGTGACAACTGACTGAAAATGGTAAAAGATGAAAGGTTTTGCAAAGTCACCTCATCCAATGAAATTTCAATGACGCAATTCATAGATCTTGACAAAAAATGAAATAACTCACTTCTTCCTAATTTGTTAATTTTTTACACGATGTAAAACCAAAAGTAGGGTGAGAACAGGTTAAAATGAATAAAATTTTGAAAATGTTGCATATTCACTTGCTCCTGAATTTCTTTATTGGAACGCGTTTTGGAGCACATTGAGCTCCATCTTCAGCGTTCGCCGACGCAGCGAACACAGAGAAAAGCCTACCCTGGAGGGTCTTCAGTCTCTGAACTCAGTAGACATCCATAATGTCAAAGATTTCCATCAACAAGTTCTTTACTGCTACTCCACATGTTGAATAAATCTAATTAAATCTCTTTGCTTTGCACCTGGCACTGTGCTGTTCAACTATTTATAGTTAATTTTTCTTTTTCCAGTGTGATGGAATGGCCACCGCAACATCCTCATTGCCAGGATTGAGGTCATCAGCCAATTCTAGTTTTAACTCCAATAGCTCATCATCCATATCTACTAGAAGAAAAAGGTCGTGTAATATGAACGATATTTGTGCTGAGGAAAAACCGAACTCATGTTTCGCAATTGTAAGTAGCATCTCCTTCAGCCAGCACTATTTTATATATCCAAGATTAATTTTAGGTTTATGAATAACTGAGTTTGTAGGTTTCACTGAAGTTTATGTGGCTCTGATTATTGTGCCCACTGTAATACAAGAATTAAATGAAGAGTCTAGGGGATCTATAGCCAACTGTATGACCTGCTACTTGGTCGACATGTTTTCATCATTGACTTTTCCTTTTTCAGGAAGTCTCAAGTAACCCTTGATGATGTTGTTTGCTAAATTTCAACACGTAAAATCCACTATAAAAATTTCTATGACCATTTTGCTGAAGCCTAATTTTCCCAAGTCATGTTTTCCGGGCATATTTCTTCATTCCATGTATTTTATGCCGCAGTAGTCTCTCAGCATGAAAGGCATCCACGAGTAGCAGATGGCTGAGAATTTTTGTTCTTTTACCCTGCAAAATCTTAGCTGAAGCTGTAAAAATGAGTGCGGAAGCTTGCAAATTAAAGGCTGCATAAAGATGTCAAATGTACAAGAGGCTAGGAGAAGCTCAAGGGGTGCTTGACTACTTTCCAACTCTGTTACAAAAACTTGGAGTGGCATGAACCTATGCGAACTATCAGAAACTGAAAACTAGTCTGTAATTTGTTTGCGCATGGCTTCAATTGACTGTGAAAAGTGATAGTAACTTTTTGGGGTTGGCGCAGATTGTGGGGTAACAACATTTTTTCAGGAGCATTTTTAATTTTGTCGTAATGAGGATGCTTGCCACTAGCTTTGAAATTTGAAGAATGCAAGCCCCTGGCCTGTTTAGGCTGGTAACCATTCTGAAGAGTCTGGAACTCCCGGTGCTCCATTTGAAATGCTGCACCTTAAAATATTTAATTGTCCGTGATGGTCTGCTTGGTCTAACAGCTATGCTTTGAAGGATCTTAGATAAAACAACCAGAAATGCATAAAACGCTACTTGCAAATAAAATTGTTCATCATTCACTGATCCTTTTGTTACAGTCTGAATTGGTAGAAGCTATGCACCAAGAAAGATGTGATAAACTGCGGTGTATCGCAAGAATCAATGATATTCGCTGCAATGGATTTCCCTTGTATGGGAGTGACTTGGTAGATATTTTGAAATGTGTAATGGATCAACCGAACCCTTCCTCGCGGACACAAACTCAAAGGCATTGGCTCAATCTGGGCTATGTAAATGCTCTAAATGCTTGGCGTCTCAGGCATTCCAACAAGTATTTCTGGTCTATATCAAATTCATTAGATTCCTTGATCAGATCTCTCGATGACAGAGCCACCGATCTGAGAAGTATATTCACAAGGTGAGTTCTCTAGAATAAACTTCAATGAGTTTTTAATTGACTTTACTTTGTTACCAAAGTGCCAATCTTGGGTTTTTGCAAAGTCGCAACCCTAAGAGAGAGGTCCTTTTAACAAGGCCGTTTGTTTGTGTCAAAACTGAAGCAGAGCACATATTTTTGTGGTCAAGTAGGCAAACTGGATCACAAGAAATAGTCTGCATTTAGTCTGGAAAGTCAGGAAATTGGAAATTTTGGAGTGTGGGAAAAGTACCATAAGTTTGCTAAAGTCAGGGAATGGGAAAATGAAGTCATTATGAAAACCCTTAAGTTTGCATGACTATTTATCCACTCTTGTCGCAGCTTATGCACCGAGACATTTAGAATGTTCAAAACTTCAGATTAAGAGACAGATTCAAATTCAAAGGCTCACCTAAACTTTAGCACATTCTTAAAGTAATCCGAGTAATTGATGTTTCTGTAAAATAAGGTTTCTTGCCTCCTCATTTTTAACATTTGCAGAGAATCGCTATTCTGAATTAAAAGTAGAAGAAGTAATGCACTGAATATTTTTCCTGAAACACAATTGTCAGCTTTTAGAATACTTCAGCCTCCAGCTAATTTTGTCAGAATAGTGGAAGCGGCTTCACACCCCCTTACTACAAGACTGGACAAGACTAGACCCTATTTCTGTCGCATATAAAATAATTTTTTCTTATTGGTTTTCAGTAGTTGCCCAATCTACAGAATCGAGGCAGAGCCTGTTCAGAGTTTCTGTCGTAAATCAGATGTTTCCTATGGTTTCTTATGATTAAAAATAATAATTTAACTCTTTGCAGGTATTTAGTGTTTGTTCCTGCCGTTTGTGCGCCTGTTCCAAGGTTCCATGTTTCACACCCGGCCCCTTCGAAGCATCTAAGTTTGCAGCATCTACAGAAAGTCCTGGAGCTAGAACTTCTACCAAAGTGTGATATTCTCCATCCTATCGTGTCTGCCTTGTTAACGCAATTCCCTGACCCGCGTCTCATCCAGTATGATTGTGGTAAGCTCCAGACTTTGGACCAGCTGTTGAGGAGACTCAAGTCAGGTAACCACCGAGTCCTCATCTTCACGCAGATGACCAGAATGCTGGATGTTCTGGAGGCATTCCTCACCTACCATGGTCATATATACTTAAGGCTCGATGGAACGACAAAAGTGGATCAAAGGATGGTAAGTCATTAATAATTTTTAGGAAAAAATTGAAGTCTAGCTTCTCTGTGAATAGTCTCAATTAGTGTACCAAAATATAGGAGATCACGGTCATTCGATAATTTTGAAGGTTAGATTTGATCAAGTCATATAGCTCTTAGGCTCCAGAACAGCTAACTACCAACGAACTACACCTCTAGAATGGCCGCGAGATAGCAAACCTGCGGTACGCGCAAGGGCCGGTTTTTGAAGGCAGGAGGGGGGTGGGAGCCCAAGTATAGCTAACCTCAATCTCCATTTCTGCTGCGTCTTGCCCATAAGGATTACATGTGAAAATTTCAACCTATGTAAACTTTCATTTTTTTTGAGGTTTGCTTTCAAAGTTCCTATTTTTTGAGTTAAGAAAACCTTTGGAGGTGCGATTATTATGCAATCTTTTCATTGCTATCACTTTATTCAACAATATTCGGCAAAATGTGGGCAGCGTCTGACATGGGTTTAGATGGCAGCCTGCTGTGTGAGCCCAAGTAAACCTAACCTATATCAACTTCAAAACGTTCCGGGTCTCTAACACTGGTCGGCCATTCTAGAGGTGTAGTTCGTTGCTAACTACACTTCTAGAATTGCTGACAATTACCAACACTGCATACAACTTTGACATTGATTTAGGTTAGATATACTTGGGCTCACACTGCATGCTGCCATCTAAACCCATGTTAAACACGGCCTACATTTTGCCCATATCACATAAAGTGATAGCAATGAAAAGATGGCACCATAATCGCATCTCACACGGTCTTCTTTACTCCAAAAATAGAAACTTTGAAAGCTCACCTCAAAATAATTTAAGTTTACAGAGGTTGAAATTTTCACATGTAATCCTTTTGAGCAAGACGAAGTGGGAATGGAGATTGAGGTTAGGTATACTTGGGTTTCCACCCCCCTCCAACCTACAAAAATCAGGCATTCCTTTTTCAACTGAGCTGACCTATTTTCTTATGAACTCTGGCTCCCTTTTGCATAGCGCTATCCATGTCATCTAAATAAATTGTTCACCCTTTTTGTTGAAGGGAAGGTAAAGAAAAGAAGTTTTGTCAGTTTTTAGTTTTGTTTTTTTCTTCAAGATTCCTTTTCTTTTCAGGCTTTGATGGAGCGATTCAATGGGGATAAGAGAATATTCTGCTTTATCCTCTCAACGAGATCTGGTGGTGTTGGAGTGAACTTGACTGGCGCTGACACTGTTATATTCTTCGATAGTGATTGGAATCCCACAATGGATGCTCAAGCGCAAGATAGGTGTCATCGAATTGGTCAAACACGAGATGTCCATATCTACAGGTGATGGGAATCTTCAAGCTTACTAATTAAATAATACTGTTCTCATATGGTCTGTCTAAATGATGCCTTTAAAAGATGCTGTTTTTGGGAATATTATCCCTTTCACTGGTACTAAATTCATCAGCCTCTGTCATTCTATTCTGGAACGTTTTTTAAGGCAGCTTATGGAGTTTCTGATGCTAGGGATGTCAAAAGTTTTCAGCTGAAATATTTACTTACATTTTTCACCTGATGCCCAGGACTTTTAAGGGCTGAACATAAAAGAGAAAAATTCTCATAAGGCTTAATCTTAGTGTGATTGAACAAGCTAATTTTGCACCAGCGTTTCAGGTACAAAATTGTAATGAATAATTACGCTAACCATGATAAATCAAATTTTTATTCCAGGTTAATAAGTGAAAAAACAGTTGAAGAGAACATTTTGAAGAAAGCCAATCGTAAGAGGTTGCTTGGTGACATTGCCATTGAAGGTGGCAACTTCACAACAGTATATTTCAAATCGGTAAGTTCTTTATAGGTTGTAATCTAATTCTATGTCTGAACTGAGCTTTATAAACTTATTTAACTTACTTTATTAAGTGCATATTATATGTTCAGTTCACATAAATCCCACGAATCTTTTAATAAGATGGCATGCATCAAGCGAAACTTTTGAATCTTGAAAATACTGTTGATCTTACCCAACTCAGTTTAAAATTGAAGATAATATGCCGTTTTGATTAGCTGAAATTTTATTTCGTTCGGATCTTCTTTCCATTAGATACGCGTTAGAACCGGCATTTCCAAATTACTTTGTTTGAAGTAAATTATCATAAATGGGTTTAAATGTATAGCTTATTGACCATGTCTCTGAATTCTTCTTGTGAGATTTTCCGACAAATATTTTGATACAAACCCTAAAATTTTCTTAACTGGAATCCTTCATAGATTCCTTTCAAGATTCTTCGATACTGATTTTTTTCACCTTTTTCTCTCGTTTGCAGTCAACAATCCAAGATTTGTTCACTGTGGATGCCAATGAAAACGATGCGGTGAAAAGAATGACTGATGAATATGAAAGGAAACCATCGATCCAACCATCGCCAGAAGAAATTACTACAGTAAGTTCTTCTTTCTTTTTTTTGCAGTATCGCATTTACCCAGTTACGGAACACACTTTTTGTCTGATAAACGAGTAAAAATTTAAGGGATCACACATGGGTCATCATCCTTCAAGGGTGGGGATGCAGATCCTCATGATGCACTAAGTGGACATCTAAACTCACCCCCTGTGTCCATTTGAATTTTTACTGTTATTGATAACAAATTGACGCTGAAGTCTGCAATCACGTATCTTGTTTGCGGTTTCTGAAAATCTCTGCCTTTACGTTATTTTTTTAAAGGAGAACAAATTGACGTAATTCCTTGAAGTTCATGCAGAATTTTCTTTGCACAGAGAAGAGAAATCACAGCAGTTTTAAAGAATTGCCATTGAGTAGTTTTCCGTTCAAAAAATTAAGTATGACAGGAAGTCTGCGGCGTTGCAATTTGAGTTATGTGATTGCTGACTTACACTGTCGAAATGTAAAATTCATTACACAAGTAACGAAGAATCAAGAGTAAATGAATGGCTTGCTTCGAGATGCACCGAAATCTGATGAGCATGGTTTGTGTGGCCTCAATCCAAAAAAAAATGACAAGGCCTCAAATGTGCTTGCTTTTTTGGAAAGGGCCGGAAAAGCAGGTGCATGTCACTTTTTTGAGTGTCATCATGATGCAAATAATGCTAACACTGATATCATCAAAGCAAAAAAAATCCAACTGCCCCACAACAGGATCAATCTGAATATAAATCACGATCATCTCTTGCCACAGAATTTTCTGTCCTAAATGAAAGGCTTCCAAGGAACATGGGCTGAACATCCAATTTTGCTAATCCTAACTTAAGAGGGGGCATCCAAATTGATGGGGCATACATTAGAACAGGTACCCTTCAGGAGTTATACTAATGAACTCCCACGGAAACATATTTTTAAACACCTCAAACTGCTTTTCCAAATTTGGATCTAGTCACCAATTTCATGCGACTTCTAACCATTTGTCAAATTATTTTCTGCAGCAGCCTGAAGAGAAGATAGGAACGGGAGCCATGGGAGTTCTGGAGAATGCATTGGCAGCAGCAGAAGATGAGACTGATGTTGCTGCAGCTAAAACAGCAAAAGCTGAAGCTGCTGCTGACCTGGCAGAGTTTGACGAAAGTATTCCTATTGTCGATCAAGAGCCAACGGAGGAAGTGAGTAAAGCAGAACAAGAAGTCAACAATCTCGTCCAACAAGTGAGTTTTCCAACCTATTTACAACATAACTGCCTTGAGTGGTGGCGTAGACTTTATCTTACTATTTATTTTATTTCATCTTCTATGAAGGAAAATTAACGCATTGATTTCCAAGCCTCTTTCGATCCCCAGTTTCATGCTTTATCGTAGCTTTCTAAACTCTTCAACTCAAAATGACCATTTGTCCACTACAAATGAATGTTTCGTGTACATGAACTATAAACGAATAGCTTATTTCTCAGAACATGATATAAGTTAAAATCGTTGGACTATTTCCCATGGAATATCTCCCCACCTCTATATCCAGGTCAAGCTTTCCATGCACAGATAGGGAGTAAATGCATTAGTCACTCCATGTGGGGACTCTACAGTCTCAGTCGTAGCAACCCTGCTAATGTATTCGCTCCTTATCAGTGCTCAGAGAGTTTGACCGGGTATAGGGGTAGACTTTTCTAATAATGCTTGTAGTAATAATGAAAAATTTTTTATAGATATTAATGAAAGATTTTTTTCGAGTTCGGGAGTTTGTTTCAAAGAAAAGCAGTGGTGCACCATAGTGTTCCTCGCAAAAGTTTGCTTATGATAAATTATACTAATTGCGAATGCCTGGTAGGAGCTTCACTCTAGATTTTAGTTGTTAGTGCTGAGTAAATTCTACAAGGGATCCTCTGATCTTAGATTTACATGTCTACCAAATTATTTCATTTAACCAGTGAACTAAGTCTAGAAAGAATGTCTTTTCTCTGTTATGTTTACCTTGTGCAGTCAGGGATGTTGATCAAACCGTTCACTGTTCAGAATGTCTTTTCTCTGTTATTAAAGCTGTAAGCTTTAATATGTTTACCTTGTGCAGTCAGGGATATTGATCAAACTGTTTCCATGTCCCCAGCACTTTCATCCAATTCTCCATGCAAGTTCACTGCATGTAGTTATTTCAAAAGTGCTACATTATATTTGCTGAAGCACCGACTTGTTCAACTTACTCAATACTTGAATGGTCTAGAATTCAGCTAACATGATTTAATTCTTTTCTACAGTCTATTCCTTAAGTCTGGAATCTCATAAGATTATTTGAAGTCGTAACTCATCATCTGAAAGTACCCCAGGACCTTGCTGATAGGGTACTGAATGAGTCCCAGACTTGTTGAATTTTTATGTTGAGGGCCCCAGGGAGCTTCGTGATCGTTAGATTCAAAATTTTTGGGGTTAATTACCCATGTATACATCTTTTTTTTTCAGACTTCTATGTCAATATTGTGACCTAGCACTTAATCAAGGATGGATTCTGTCCTCCAACTGAAGGGGTCAATAATTTGTACAAGGATAATTGATCAAGACTAAAATTGTCTGCATTAAAATTGATTGGTCAAAGAATTGGAATGTCTAAATTATTGCAGGGAGCCCTTTTTGTCAAAGTTAGGGACCTCCTTCTAGTTTCTTCAGAGGATCTGAGATACTTGGAATGAACAAATTTAGATTCTGAAGGGTCAATTCCTTTTTTTTTTATTTCTGTGTCTCTGGACTTGGTCCGACTTTAAATACCCAAGATAGGATCCTGGCATGGGTGGTTGGGGGCACCCTTCTACATAAATGTGAGAACTGAAATATTTTATTATCTCAAGAGTTGTTTCAAATGAGTGTATCAATGGTGTAAACAACATGTCTGAAGTTTCTGCTTTTCTTTTCCCTTTAGTTAACTCCAGTCGAACAATGGGCCATGAAGTTTATGGAGTCAATGGATATGGAAACATACGCTGAACAATTTGCACAGGCTGAAGCTGAGATTGAGCAGCAGAAGCGTGAATGGGAGCAAAAACGTTTGATCATGAATGAGGATGATAATTCTGAAGAGGAGGTGGACGAAATGCTCACGTACTCCAGCAGAGACTCTCGCAACCAGGTGACAAAAGTTAACATGGTTAAGACTAATGGTTTAAGTAAGCTACGAAAACGGAGGCAGACCGATCATTTGAGTCCAAAATCTGATACTCCAACAAGAGTCTCAAGTAGATTAGCCATTGCTTCTTCTACTCCTTTACAACTATCTAATGGTGATAACAAATCTTTGCCTCCCAATAAAGTCATGACGAATAATAAACTTGCTGATAGCACACCAAAAATTAAATCTGATAAATTGCTGAAAGCCTCCTCCAACTTTTCGAAACAAAATTCAAAACCTCTGTCTAAAACTCCAGCCAGTGCCAATGTCAAATCTAGTAAAACAGCAGGGCAAGAAGTAAAGCGTAGACGCATTTCTAGCCTATCTGTGCAGAGTAATACGATTAACAAGTATTTCACCCCTTTAAATACCTCCTATAAAATTCCCAAAAAAATGGAAGAAATTGATTTGGAACTTCGGGATGAGAAAGACGATAGCGAGCTGGTAACTGCGAGCATGTCCGATTCCGTAGTTCATAACTCAGTAGTTCCTTACTCAAATCCAAACTTAGTTATCCGAACAAGGCGAGCATCTGCTACAACTTGTCGTGAATCAGTAGACTCAGTTGAACAAAGCTCTGTTAGAAACAAGCGCTTGTCTCTTAGTGGCACAGATGTCAGTGGTGAGCCATAGGCACGAAGGCTCTTTCTATGTGAAGTCAATTTGTTTTTGATGAAAAATTTTCCACTTTACATTCTTACCCTTTTCAATCACAGCCAGTTGGATTGAAAGCAAAAGCTATGTTTACTAGCTTTTTTCCAGATGTATAAAAATGTTTTTGCTAGATTATCAAAACAATTAGGATCTCATTATTTTGAACCATCATGAGCTCTCACTTTTCTATTTTATGGCACAGTTTCTCTTTTTTGTTGAAATCTTTCCTCCCTATATTATCCTTGCTTCCCTTTTTACTGACACAAAGAAATGCTGTTTTTGACATAGTCAGTCTTTATCTTTCTCCATTATTTCCTTGCTTTCTTAGTGTTTTCCAATAATTTCAAATCTCTCTGAACCGGCTGTAAGTTGGAGTCAGTCTTAGCAAATGTAATAGGAGGAGTTCTCATCTGGTGAGCAATTTATTGCAGTGTCAGATAGCTCAAAGTACATAGTATTATTTGTTTAAATATTATTGATATACAGTCTCATTGAGCTCATATACCCCTGTATTTTTACATTGAAATTTCATTGATTTGGTGTCATCTGTTTAATCATAAATTGCCAAAGACACTCAATTTAGACTATCACTTCTGCCCAATGAAGATGTTAAAAGTCTGTAATCTAATACTCGGTATCAACTTTGGATCAAACTCATCCTGATCGGATACAATTTATGAGAAGTAATCCCTAATTCTTTTGATCGTTGATAATTACAAAATTTTTTGTAAAGTATAAGTATGTGGTTCCTGCAAAGCAGGTAAATGAAAAGACTATAAAGGTATCATGACTAGGCTCTTTTCATCGCAGACCATTAGTGCAAGGTTCAGAATGAATAATCCCTACTAAATTTTCAGCCATGTTTATGAAGAAGGAGCAGAAGAGGGTTTCTTCAAAGAATCTCATTGATTTATCATTTGTTTTTTGTTTTTTTTCCTCAAAAAAATTTAACTTATAAGGTGAATGTCTAATTTTAGACTTATTCGAACTGTTCGGCCTGATTTTCATATTTGCTGGTTTATTGATAGAGTATTAGATTTTCTTTTCTGTCCTCCAAGATTTATTTATTTATTTTCATTTTTTCGGGGGTGGGTCTGGCATAGCATGAATAGCATGATAAAGTTGTGAACTTTCCATTAGTCCGAAAACTAACAACATAGAGGATATTTGATCCTTTCTTTATTCTTTAAACTTTCAACTGAAATTATTGTGTAGGAAGTGATAAATTGGAAGAATGGATGTTCCAAACCTTGTTAATTTGTTTTTACATTGCTTATCTATTAATTTCAAGCGTAAATTGTGTTTTGAATGAGTATCGGTACCAAGTGTATGTACGTAAGAAATCTAAGAATAATCTTGTCACGTAGAGTGCCAGAAAGGTCGATATCTTCATCATACTTTGCAGTATTACTCTGCAATATTTTTCTAGATTTGTGTACATTGTTTATTAATGCTCTTCAGTTCAAGCAAATTTTTTCCCCTGAATCAAATAAATTGAAAATATGACCGAGATTGTATGCCTCAGTGTATATAAGGGATTTTTCACATGTGTCATCATACAAAAATCTCTTCCCCTCGGAAGAGAAATGAAAATAAATTTTGATGAGTCTTGTATTTTCATATTCTCTGTCATGATCCGTGTTGTAGCATCTAAATGATCTGTTATTGATCTGGCTGTATGAGCAAATGATTTCAAAGAATTTTAAGGAGGAATTATAGTCAGTGATAAACCACTTTCACAGCTCTGTCTGACCAGTAATGAATCTATAACTAGTTTGTCATACTGACTGCCTTCAGTTAATCAAACTATCTCAATCAACTTGTGTCAAGGGCAATTTTCCAATGAAAGCAAAACGTCTTGTTCGAGTGATACAATATTTCCTCATATAAAATAACTGTTTAATTCCATCGTATTTACTATCTGAGTCTTAGTTGCAAGTGAATGGTGGTCAGATAGGAAGAGAAAGGATGATGATGTCCTATACGTTATGTTGCCAGATAATGTTGAGGACTGATGGATACATTTATGTACAAGAAATCCAGAAGCATAGGATTTTTATGTCCTATTAGTTACTTCTTTTGGATAGATGTGCTTAAACATTTCATTTTATCAGTTTGCCTGAAAAAAAAATCAAATGCAGTAAAATAGAATGATGGACAATGAGCCATTTTAAAACTTGACGTCATCGGTTTAATACATGATTTGACATCACTTAATTTTGAATTTCTGTCTTAAAAAATGTTTTTTTTTTTTACCTTGAATTAATTTTGTATTTACTGTTATCCCAACGCCTTTTAATTCTCTTAATTATTTTATTTTTTATTCCTGTTCCCTGTTTCAATTTTTATGAATTTTCTGACTGTACATAAGAATCTAAGTATCTGTAAGTTATGTACATAAAATCTAAAATTTTTTACCTGGAAATTAAATGCCAGTTTTTATGTACTATTTTTCTGTAAAAAATTCCTTGTGAAGTAATTTATTGTTATTGAAAATTTACTATTGAGCTGTAAAAATGTATGTACTAATGTTGTGAAATTGAGACAAAAAGAAACGAAAATGTTGTTTTCCCTATTGATTTTTTTTTAATAAAAATGAATGAAATTATTAAAAAAAAATTTAACTCTTGTGTTTTTACTTCTCTCTCTTGGGAGTTTCACTGAGCTTTTTCTGTCCAAGACAGTCCTCTTACCTACAGATGGCAGAAGATTGTCTTCAGACAGAGTTAGCTATTGATCAGTAATATGGAGCTTTGTTTTGGTGTCTTTCGAATATTTTCTTTTGCTCTTTGTGTGATAGTTTTCGCATTTCCCAACTGTTTGCTCCCACTAGATTATCCGCCAGTTATAGTTTCATCACTTGTGAAATTTCCCCCCATCTATTCTCATCTAATCTGTCAGTTTAATTTCCTTCTCTTTTGACTCCATTGATTCAACATACTCTAGCTCGCACAATTAACCGGAGATGGAGTGATCTTTAAATCATCAAAAGTTATCTTTTTTAGTTTTTCAAATTTCTAACCAACTCAATCCGACCTTCATTATCAGCACCACAATGATGCAAATCCTATCTTACTTATATACTGCGAGCCAAATTGCTAAGGTATCACCAATCGGTAGTTTCTATTTTCGCAATTATCAGCTCGTTTTCTAAAATGAGAAGAGGGGAGACATTAAAATATCATTGTTTAGCAGAAATGCTCTTGAGAGCATAGGGTTTTTTTTTTACCCGGACTCGGAGAATTATGTAGAAGTTCATCCTATCGTTCTCCACTATTGAACTCCCGTGTTGAATTCAGCTTCACTTTTTAATCTCACTAAGTTTGAACAATAAATCAGCCCGATATAAAGCATGACATCTCTCCATCTCATTTTTTCCCTCATTAGACTTTTTTGCCAAGCAAAACACCGAAACATTGTCTTTGCAATATTATTTGAATCAATAAAAACTGCCAAGATTAGAGAACTAACACATAGAGCAAGGGAAAACAACGATCATGGAAACAGAGCCTTGTTGCACTGCTAGCTTGAATGAGACAAGTGTGACAGACGCAGCTAAATCTTATGAACGTACTCTCATATTACACTACTTAAACTGAATCACAGCAGAAAAATCCAAATTGAGTTTACGGAGTATCACCCAAATGGCATCCTATATTATCTCAATGGGTCTGAAATTATTTCAGTACCCACTACAGCAGTGGCGTGGCGTGCTTTGTGATATATTGATTGATTCGCCATTCAAACCTATGAAAAAAGATCGATTATCAGGGCGTTCGCAGCGAACACCTTAGTAATCGATTCTTTACCATAGCTTCAAATGGCGATATATCGTTAATCCTTCACACGCCACGCCACTGCACCACAGTATAGTGAAAATTGTCTTTCAGAGACATGAACGTTCTCACTTTCCCCTCATCTCCATTTTGCTGCACTTTTCTCCCTCAAAATTACTGTTTTCACAAAATTAGTAGATAAATTTATCTTGAAATAAATCTGCGAGCATGTCAGAACATCCCGTTAAGCACTTTGTCTGTTTTTACTACCAAGAAAGTAAAGTTTTGATGGACATTATCTCTACTCCACCATTTTCACCCGGTTTTGGACATAATTTGACCCATGGATGCTTCTCTTCCTAAAAATCATATTCTTTTTAATAAGCCCCAACCTAAATTCTAGAGATTCATCGTCGGCTAAATTTCATTTGCATTTGCTTTTGATGTCCTTTCCGACCTCTCTGACCCGTATGAGCCCATAGTGAAGTTGCAGTAAAAGAGAAGAAAAGGATGGTGGAAGCATCGTGTAACTGTAAAATTGAGAACTTTATGCTAAAGAATTTTAATGTTTAAATATCTATGATTTACCAAATTAAAAGCCTCATAATTTGATTTATTAGTTTTTTGGAAAAATAGCAAGTAGGTGACGAATTCCTAAGCAAGGATTCCACCAACTGAAAGAGAATTGAGGCATACAAAGTGGGTCTACCCAAGAAGTCATTAAGTCCAAGTATACTAAGAAGTCGATTGCCTCTGTAGCATTGTAAATTTTCTCATCAACTTCATATTTTCTGGACCTTCTGCAATATCTAGAGAGGAGCATGCTATGAGTCGGTGCTCCTTATCCAAATTTGAAGGTTGAAAATCCAAATTTTGGGAAAATTTGAATCCAGGAATTATAACATCCCAGCTATGAAAGCACATCACTCGCAAAATGCATCGAATTCTAATGGCTTGTAATTTTAGGGGATTTCTGAGTTGACTGGAGGTCAAATATGCAAGTAAAATATGCAGTGTTGAATTAGGCATTTTATTAATGACAAGCAACTCATCTCCAAGGATAATTATCGGAGCAGCAAATAAACTGAAAAGTAATAATATGGTCCTTATATGAAAATGAACCATTCACTCCTAGTGGTCCTAGTTCATATACTATGGGAAATACCTACCATTTGTTGTAATACTGTAACTGATTTCGTTAGATTAAAATATTTCAAAAGAAATCTTATAAATGATATCAGTAGTATAATTCAAAAGAGCTCTTTCGTTCCAAATTCTGAAAGGGAGATGGTCAAAAAGTGAATTTTGGAGTAGGCTGAAAAATTATTAGGGACTGATCAAGTTTCATTTTGATTCTTTCTGCGGGCCTTCAAAGTGGGCTTTAACCTCGGTGTTTCCGGTAATTTGTTGAAAAAATAGTATGAGAGTGTCCTCTCTTAGAGGACTCTACCATATAAATTTACAATTTTTGCAGTAATTTTTCAGTTGGAAAAGAGAGTACATTTTTTCTAACCTCTAATTTATAAAAACAAACAGAACAAGTTTATTGTGCTTGTCTGTTGCAAATGATTTTTTTTTCTCATTGATTTGCTTACGCACAAATTGGCAGTTTTCTGCAAGTATTAAAATGCACTGTGTGGTTTTGGCCACTGCATCATCATTCCTGCCTCTGTGAAACCTGGATATGGTGAAAGAATTTCGGTTTACTTTGAACTTCCTTTGGAGTTTTAAAGTAGAAAAATGTTTATAAGTAATGTTAAATGTTTTAAAGTAGAAATTATATGAAAATTATTATGTGAAAGATCATATACCAGAAACTGATTTTCATGCAAAACTTCCATTTGCTCCTGAGACTTCCGTCTCACGACCTTAAATGTACGTTGATCCTGTTAAAATTGAACATTTAACCTAGTCTGTCGAGTCGGAGAGGATGAAATGCAGAAACCGTTCTTTTTGTATCAGTAAACAAGTAGCATTGCACTCTAGAAAGAAGAATAAGAAGTTGAACAAATTGATAGCATGCTTGTAGCATGAGACAAGGCAGGCGCTAGTATTGCTCGCTGATGTCGTAGTAGGACACTGCGTGTGTAAAAATTCAGCAAGAATGAATGTGTCTCGTAAAACTGCACCAATAGGACAGTGGAATCCATCTCAATACACAATGATGTGGAAGTATGCAAGGCAACGGTGAAGGAATCCTTGATTTTCAGCCCCGACAATGCTGCCGTAAAAAGCAACAGTTATGGAGAGGACTGCGAATTGAGCTTTACTGCTCAACCACTATCCTCTCTTTTGACTGCCCTCAGTGCTATCAGAACACCTCAGGAGTTTGCTCTTGCCATTGGACTTGGCGACTGATGTGAGCGGCTCAGGAAAATTGAGAATGACTTTTGTCATCCTCAGCTTTCGGTTTTTGGCATTGCTTTAGCTAGCTTCCTTCAGAATGTATCAAGTGGTCCACCGTGAAGATCAGCATGATGCATGAAAGGACAAGTTTTTATTTCCCAACGGAACCTACTTTTGGCTGCTAATTCAAGACATTCAAAGTAATATTTAATTCCTTTAAATGCTAAAAATAAAGAAGAAAAAATACCTCTTTTTTGATCAATTTTTTTTTTATAATTTCAGATTTGGATAGCTCAGGATGGTCGAGAGCACATGCCGGTAAGAATCTTCGAACATTTTTATGTACCTAATAATCGTTGATAATGGTTTTCTTTTGATAGCTAGTAATATTTCTGATGTGGACTACTCATTTTTGATGATCACAAGCAGAAACGTAGATTCCAACTTCTTAGGTAATTCAAAGATGGATAAAAGGAGTGACTTTTTCTCTTGATGAGCTTTTATGGCTCAGTTTTTCTAAATCAATGTCTTGAGCCTGGACTTTAATGATCTTTGGAATATTTATGATTTGGTGGCCTCTGATCTACAAGAATCAAGCATCAAAACACGATTCTGTGACCAGCGCAACTGACCCATTCAGGTGCTAACCAAGATATTTTTTATCAGAGCATGTAAAAAGACTTACAAGAATAAAAGAAAATGCTCAAAATGGACGGCAGATAAACCAACACTGCTGGAAAACCGCCAGCAGGCTTCAAATCCTTTAAATTTTGAGTCTGTAGGGTCGAACCTTTTTCAGTTCTCTATCTTGGACTGTATATTTTGGAGAGTAACCAGGGTTTACGGGCAGTAGGTCTACAAGAAAAATGGCTACAAAAACAAGGGCTACCTCTTTTGGCCCACATTTAAAATGTCCACATGAAAATGCCTATTAAAATAATGTCTATAGTAAAATATGTCTGCGGTATTAAAATGTCTACGATTTGACTGCCTACTCCAAAAATGTCAAAGTTCGTATTTATGTCGTCTAATAAGAATCTCATTTGAACTGTCGAATGTTTGAATAGTTATTCAATCAAAATTGGGCGGTACGGCAGAATCATTTTTACAAGCGTTGAGGAAGGGAAAATTGTGAGTCACATTTCGCGAATAATTGATCCTATAAATATCAACAAGTATATTTTATTTATTTTTTTATTTTATAAATATATCTTATATATTTTTAGTGGCCAACATAAATATTTTGACATTTTCCAAGTGGGCAAACAAACCGTAGAAATTTTAATAGCGTAGACATATTTGACTGTCTGTAGACATAATTTTAGTAGGCATTTAAATGTAGACGTTTTGACTGTAGACTAAAAAAAGTAGCCCTTTTTTTTGTAGCCCTTTTTTTTGTTGCCCTTTTTTCTGTAGACGTACTCTCTGCATACCGAAACCAGATGAGAAAGCTCCCATAAAGTTCAAAGCTTAGATTTCTTATTGTTACTTTTGTGCTAATTTTATTTTTGTAATTATAGATCTGGTGCCCTCCAACTCCTCCCACTGATGACTCTGATGTTTATATTGACCATTCTCTGGGTTTGTTGTATGAACACACAACTATGTCCGAATCCCAACTACCTCCTGTTTATTATAAGCGAGACCGCAAAAGGCTCCGGGCTGATACATCTAATGATGGTAAGAGACGATTTTTTGTAGTGACAGTTCAAAGGACTTATTAAAAGAGGAGGCAATTTTCTTTTGGGTAGTGGCTGCAGCAGCCTGATTGTAGAATTTATATGGATACGTCAAGAGATAACCCCATTTTAACCATTCAAAGTCTTCTCATACTTCTATCAGTGTATTTTTTGTGCAACAGACTCATTTATTTTTATGCACCTGCCTTCATTCAAAGTTTGTGATAGTGAATTTCTATCTGAAATTAACCTATTTAAATGAAGTGATAAAAAATCAATTTCTAAAGTAAGGCATTCTTACATCACAACATTTTTCAGCTTGAAACTTTTCTGTGATCAATATAATCAAACTTCAAGTACCTTCAAAATTTATTTTTCCCACTGAAATATGATGAAATGAAAAAAAGAAAATGTTTCTTTATTCCTAGTGCCTTTAGTCCTTTCAAATAATAAATTATGAAGAAAATAGAAGAAGAAAATTTAAAGATGTGAAAAAATCGCTGTCTAAAGAAGTCACCTCTGTAGAAATTGAATGTCTCATGTTAGATAGATACTTTTTCACATTTTTTAGGAGAGCGATTGAATTAACAGTTCTATGATGTGAGGGAGACAAATTTGCAGAAGAACTGTCTCTTTGGTTAAGGGGAAAAGAATGTAAGGGTACTATAGTTCTTGCCTATCAATTTCACCCTTCACCTTTGTTTTCATTGTGAAGCTTTGTCCAATTCAGGTCGACCTACCATGAAAGTGCGTTACCGTGATGAAAATCTAGCTCTCCACACGCCCAGATCCCTCTTTGATCGTCCCTCAGCTGCAATCCTCAAGATGCGACAAGAATTCCGTGCGCAGAAAAGTCGAGGTATCGCTCGACCCATTTTGACCCCTATCCCAGGCTTAAAACCACAGCCCCCAGTCAAGCCTGCCCCTGAACCAGATCACGTGCCAGAATGGACAATTGCAGAGGACTACGCTATTCTTCATGTTAGTATTACTTTTTCATTCTCATCAACTAAATTTTACAAATAAAATTAAAATTTCTTAAAAAAGATTTAGGTCTTTCTTCATAATTTGTATCAAGTGCTCTCTTAGATTATGTAAAATACTATTAGTAAAACTTCACACATAATAGTGCCAAGTGAAAATGGTGCATGTATTAGATTTTGTGATCTTCGGAGAAATTATATTTCTAATGGTAATTTGACTTTAATGGAACACTTTTTTTCATTATGTGTACTCATCTTAAAAATCTTCAAGAATGGGTCAGTTGCCCTAATTGCAGAATTGTGTTTTAATGCGTAATTGTAGTAGATTAGCTAAAAATATGAAGATCTGTCCCAACGGCAACTTTCTACGTTCAATATTAACCGAGATATTGCCCTTTTAAAAACTGGGTTTTTGACGTCAACCACTGCGGTAGTGACACCTTTGGTTTCTTCCACCTTGGTTTTATCAGTCAGGGAGACACACATTGGCACTGGTTACTGGACGTGAAATTCGGATACAAGCAAGGTGGAAGAAACCAAGGGTGTCACAACCGCAACGACGTCGAAAACCCAACTTTTCAAAGGGCAATATCTCTGTTAATATTGAACGTAGAAAGTTGCGGTTTGGACAGATCTCAATATTTTTAGCTAATCTATAAGAATCAAGCAACAAAACACAATTCTGTGACCAGCGTAACTGACCCATTGATTTCAGAAATCCTAATTCCAAAATTCTGACTTCACATTAAAGGCTCTTTTCTGTTGCTGAGATATTGCATTGGCATAGTGAATCCATGCAAATGAAATCCCACTCTATCCATTATTTTTCACAGCTTCTGTTGATGATCTGGTCTTAAAATTTCTTTAAAAACTCACCAATTATCCCCTTTAGTGAAAATCACAGGATTACCCATAAAATATGTCTTCTTGCAGCAAATTCCGAATGATAATGCCAAAATTAGGCTCGGTCAGAAATTCTCTTACGTCTGCCAAAACCACTAATCTCGAGCCTATCCAATTTTTCAAGATTTCACAGTAAATATTCCCCTGTTTTTCAGGTTATACAAGATGTCCAAGAGTTGCCATTGAGCCTTGTCATTTTATCTCCTGGTCACACTCCCAACTGGGATATGGTCGCAGAGGCAGTCAACAAAGAGTCCAGGCTATACAGATCTCCAAAACAGTGCAAAAATAGGTATGTGTGAAAGATTTGATCCAGTAGCTTTTCAGTCACCAAAAATTGATACCTCAGTAGAAGAAAACTAGGGGGCTATGCCCCCTGGTCGCTACGCGGCCCAACTCCCAGTGGACGCTTCACGTTCTCCTAGGCCTGCCTTGACGAAAGAACGACAAAAAAATGACAAAATTTTCATACCCAACTCTCATTTGTCCAATCTTCCCATGGCCGGGAGCAATTGGACCAATAAATCTTTTGAAAAAAATCGTCATTAATTTCAAACTTCATGCCAAGACTTAAACGAAACGGAACAAACAGAACGGAGCGTTTCGTCGCTTATGGATTTATAGTCTGTAGCAAAGGAGTGCACCTTCAATTGACTTACTTTACTCTACAGACAGACCAAGATTCAACATTTCCCGCTTTGTTCAATTTTCATCTAAATTTGAAATTCCCACCATTTTTCAGTGGCAGAAATTACTAATGCCTTCCTTCCTAAGCTCCCCAATCTACCCTCATATAAAAAAAAACCTGGGTACCATATCCAATATCTGATTACAGCGGGCCCATCTAGGGACAATCACCTGTCAATGACCGCAAATATCATGGGAATAGGCCCAATAGAACGCCCAAACGAACTGTGACAAAAAATAAAAATTTACATTGTTTAAATGAGAGAATTCGCATCTTTACCATGTAATATGAAAAAACCCGGGTCATATCTTCAAAATTTTGAATTTCATTAATTTCGTTATTTTGAAAAAGTCAATTTTGTCTCCAGAATCAAGAGGAAAAAGTTATGAACCTAGTAAAATTTTCGCTCTGTCCCAATTTGACCAATGGTCATTTTTAAAAGCCCAATGATAATCAATGTATTTTGGAATTATTTCCAAAAGGCTTAACCCAAAGTAAGCAGATTATTTTATGTCATTTTAATCTATCAAACATGATCTTCATTCTTATGATGGGAGTATGAAGTCTTGAGCCATTTTTAAAACTCACTATGGTCTGAATTTCAGGTATGAAAGTGTTATTTTACCGCGTGAAGAAGGTAAAATTGTATATGATCCCAACTCAAGGAAAAATAAAAAACAGAAGGGCTTCTATAGACCCCCTCAGGTAAGTTAATTGATATTAGTGACTTCATTTTTTGTGTGGGCTTTTTTTTTTGTCATCAAGAAAGGGTATGGACTTCAGTCTTTTTTCGTCTCATCGTGGATCTTCGTCAACTCCCTCATATTTTGCACTTCGAATTTTTGTTGTTGATGGAGGGAAATGTCATTGTCTGTTTTCACCCCTTCTTTGCAAGTGGTAATTTTCCGACCATGAGGCAGAGCATTGGTTTTGAAAAGTAAGTCAGGTCTCAAGTTATGATTTAGCGTTCGAAAAGTCCCTTTATATCAGACCTGAAAAATAAATTAAACACCCATCAATATTACTTGTCAGAGATGTGAAACAGTAAGTTTAGTCAGTTTTGGTTAACCTGCCATTTATGCTCATATTCTGAAGTCAATGCTGTTCAACATTCATAAGTTTCAAATACATTTCATCTGGATCCAAGGTGAGCCAGAAAAAAGCCTGCATTACTAATAACCTTCCTTTTGTTCTCATCTCATAATTAACGATTTTTTGACATCAAAATTTTTCTCCTTGCTTCTACTAAATGTACAACAAAAAATTTCAAGAGTCTTAAAAATGTCATAACCAAAGACTGACATGGAAATAAAGTGAAAGACAAAAATTGAAGAAAAAAGGTGTCAGGTAGAGGGAAAGAGAAACAAAATTATTGATTTTGGCTGTTTGTTGAATTTACTTTTATTGACACTTCTTTGAGTTCCAATAGCAACTGTAATTTACTCACAAGCAAACAGAGGAAGATGTTGATATCTCTCTCATCGAATGCACACAAAAAAACAGTCCTGCTTATTAAATTTGAAAATTTTACTTTCATCATGCTTCAAGTGGAAAAGAAAAATTTAACCAATTGCCTTGGAAAGAATTTTAGATCATCCTCATCACTAAACCATCTAATTCTTTTTGTCATTATTTTTTTTTTTTCAGACCAAATCTGGCAGATCTTTAGGAACTTATCAACTTTTCACTCAAGACAAAAATACTTCCAACGTCCAAATTTTAGCTGGACGTTTTGATGCAATCCAGAAAATTTCAAAGCAACGCACACCTGTCGTGAAGCCTCTGCAGTGCAACCCGTCACTTAGTAGCAAAAACTTTAATCCAAATCACTCTGCAATGCTAGCTGAGTGTAACATCGACTATGACAATCCTCTAACGCCAGCTGAAGTTGCGCACAAACGGTCTGAAAGGATTGCACGGGAAAAACAAGCAGCTCAGGCAGCTGCTGCAGCTGCAGCTGCGGTGAGTAACTACTGATGTAACTCACCTTAGATTTTCAATCTGCATAAGAAATTTATTATCACAGAAGTGTCAATGATTTTTATTATGATATTTTTGATCCTAGGAAGAAGTTATCTGTGCTGCATAAAGTTTCGAAGGTGTTAGTTCCTTCTAAAAAAAATCAGTCTGAAACTTACTTATCAGGAAGCATGTGAATTTTTTCTTCCCTGCTACTAGGATTAAGTGTAATTTTCCGGCCAAATCAGAAAAAGGCACATAGAAACAGCAAAATTTTAATGCCTCAAATTACAGTTTCCACTAATTACTGCGACACGAGGGCTGCTCATCAATTATGCATGCTATTGACATTCAGCAATTTGTTCCATGGATAATTAGCAGACAACGCCTTAATTGCACAGCAGTGCAATGAAAACGTGCTGCTTCAAATACCTGTCACCATGACTGTTTTGACTTGGCATAAGCCAGAAAAAACAATCACCCTGACGTGATGTAGTGAAAGTGTTAAAAAAGCTGGCTTTAAGAAAAATGCTACATGAACCGAAGCTTTCAAAATCCGAAATGCCTCTTCCTGGCTCAGTAGGCGGAAATGAGACACCATGGTTGGACTGTGGATAATTTTCTTGATTGAAGTTTCCTGCAATCAAATAAGATTCATCTTACAAAGATCAAGGAGTTTAAGCAAATAGAGCTGTGTGGTTGGAAAACTTAAACCCAGATCGGAATATAATCCTCAACCCCCCTTCCTCTCAACTCATACATCAGGATTATCGTTCTTGTCTTGTTTTGTAACTGTTTTGTCCCTAGATTTTCCATCAATATTCCCAATGTGCCTTGTAAGCGCAAAAAAACCCTAAAATACCCGCGGGTAGAGGCTTTTAAGAAAAAAACCTGGGTTTTTTCCAATCCTTGCCCCATTGTGCAGCAACCTGACTAGTGGTGTGGTGATCGAGACCCAATGTAGGTGGAGAGATGGAGGAGACTGCCCAGCAATCGGCTGAGGAGAGGGGGCAATAAGGGACGGGTAAGGAGGTTGCTGCTGTGGGCACTGTGCTGGTAAGAAGGAATGCTCCAGGTAGAGCCTTGAAAAGGGGTGTTTTTTTGGTATCCACAGTCCAATGCTAAAGCTTTATATGGAAGAATCATTACCACATAAATGTCCTCTCAGTCATTATTTTTCATCTCTATGTTTTTGTCTGTATTTAATTGCATTGGTATCCATTTCTTCATGGTGTAAGCAGCTACAGCAGTCAGGGACAAAAGAACAACAACAACAACTGTTGCTTCAATTAAGCCAAACTCAACAACAAGTCGCAACCACCAAAACAGGAGCAACAGTTACTCCCACCAAAAAACAAGTAAGCATTTTGCCGACATATTTTTCCCTTTGTTTGACCATGCATGATCTTTCTTAAAATGCAATCAAATTCAATATTAGAGCCTCCCGATGATGAGAGTTAGGGGTCCACTCCCCCATGGTGATACCAGGTCTGCCCGGAAAGTATCCGACTTTGTTGATTATCTCGCCATCAACGGTTGATAAGAGGTTGGAGCTTGGGATTGTCTTTGCAGGGACTCTCCTGAGTGCAGGTGCATAGTCGGATTATCACTCGTTGACACAGTCATTGGTATTTTGCTGATGAGTGCTATTCTGCTGTGATCGTTGAATTTTGTCTTTCCTAAAAAAGAAGAAGTAAAGGAGAGTGGAGTGGGAAGAGTTTGTAAAGAAGATTATCACAGGGAACACGTCTTGAGTCTACGGGTACGACCCTGAGACAGAAGTGCAGTCGTCAGTTTGGATCGCACCTGGGATACCTCGCCCGTAGAAAGCTCGGAAGAGTCGCATCAATGTGAAGGCAATGCTGACTGTCATCTTCGATCATGAAAGTGTCATGAATTTTAACTTTTCTTTCCCTTTTGAACCAACCTATTGTAAATACATTTTTCAGGATTTTCACTTTTCTGAAATACCTGAAAGATATCATTTCAGTAGCTGTAGTGCATTGAATAGTACCTCTCCTGGCGCAAAATATCAGTGTTGAAAACTGTGTCAGAATCCGTTTTATAAATGTCAGGAGGACAGCCACTGCTATTTCCTAGCTATGCTTAAAAGAAGCATTTAAAATTTTGTATGTTTGTCAACACACAGTCAGAAGCAGGATCATTTGGCATCAGGCAAAACGTTTGCCGCTTGACACCAACAGTCATAGATACGCAGTCTAGTAGACACCATTGTCATAGGTTGAAAAATACGTTACATATGGCTCCAAAGCAACAAACTTATTCCTTCCTTTGGGCTATATTCTGGGTTATTTGAATAATAAAATTTATATAAATGGATCTTGCAAGTTGTAACTCTTCTGGTGGTTTGACAGGAGTCAGCAACTACTCCAAGTCCTGTTGGGAGTGTCATTAGGTCATCCACACCTTCGTCCTCTGGTCAAGCGCGGACCGCCACAACTCTAGCTGCCTCTCCTGGAACCACTGCTACCCAGAAAGGTTTGTGCTGAAAGAGATTCTCTTACCCATAAATCGATGAACCAATGATTTTTATTGGTTCACTTATTTTTTTTTACGATTTTCATGCAGCAGAGCCTAACATCAAAATATTTCAAAAGTAAAAAACCACCTATGTATAGAACGGAGAATAAAACTGAAAACAGTGAATAATGGTAACCTCTTAAGTGTAAATTTTGAAGGAAAATATTTTTTAATGGACAACAGAATTAATAATTAAGGGAATATTTGTTTTCAAATTGATTTAAATTTAGATTTTCTTGAATTTCTACATATATAACCAGGCAAAGAGTTTAAAACCTCATGGACGAACCCAAGGAACTTTAACTGTAAGAATATTCAATTTAATGAAGAGTGTTTTCAATCTGAAGACAACAGTCTCCTAAAGTAGAAACGATTTAGTTTGTTAATGGAACTTTCAGAAATTCCTATGTGCATGCAATAGCTGAAATTTCATTGTTTGTGAAGGTGCAACCGGAGATGTGCATTTTGCAATCTCACTTTGATGTTGGACAGACCATTAGAATTAATGCTATCGATGTGAATGTTTTCATTTACCTGTAATATCTGGAAGGGGGCCAAAACTAAATCAATTCTTATTTTTTAGTGGCACTACTAGCTGGAAGCAAAGGCTACACGCCAGCTCAACTGGCTTTGTATCGTGAACAGGCATTGTTGCGTCAACAACAACAGTTGAAACTACTTCAGACAAAGCAGGGAGCCGCACAACAGCAAGTTTCAGTTGCTACTACAGCTAAAGTCTCTGTGGCAGTATCTTCTCCAACTGCCCAGCAAAGACAGGTACTTATTTCTTTTGAAACTTGCAAGTTAGAAATTTTTATATCTAACGATAGATTACAAAAATCTACTGATGATGGAGTGGGTTTCTGGTAATGCATGTAGTTAAATCTGCTGATACCGATTTTACATGTAAGAGAAAACAGCAACTTCTGGTTCTTACAGAAGATGAACAAGTACTTGTGAACGTACAAGTTTCAAATTCTAGATATTATCATTAATTTAGACTTCAGACTTACTTTTGAAGATCCATGAGGATTAAAGGATCGTCCCTTCACAGGAAAAGTTGAGACATCTGAGGTCCTGATATTAAAAACTGTTGGAAAGATTGTACTGTCTGCAACATTTTCTGTCTTCTTCGAGCTTCAGGGGAAGAGAAACAGGGAGATTTTCAGCTTTATGCTGAATTTTTAACGCTTGTTGGCTAAATAATTCTAATATGATAAATGGTGAATGGAACAATAGTTTTTTTTTTTAAGAGTGTGAACCTAGACCCTCTCTAATCTGTTGCAGGGAAAGCCGTTAACTGCCAGAACAGTATCAGAGTCAGAAATGGCAGCAATAATGAAACGCCAGCAGCAACAAAAACAACAGCAGCAAGCAGCTCAGCAGCAGCAGCAACAACAACAACAACCAGTACAACAACAACAATCTCCGCAGCAGACAGCAGCAGCAGCTGCCAGTGGTAGTAACCTGGCAACAGCACAAATCCTTGCTCAAGCTGGCATTCAAGCTCAGCAGACAACCACGTCAACTGGCATCAGCCAAGTTGCGGCCCTTGTCAAGGCAGTTCCAGGCCAAACGCATATACCTGTTGCCAATCTAATTCCGCAGGTAATTTTGCTGCCTCCTAAACATATCAGATAAAAACCCTGCAGTATCAGTACTCTCTTTTTTTTTCTTTTTTTTTTCTTTCTTGTAAAACGTTTTGTTTCTTCAGGAAGAATAAGATAGAAGCTAATGATCATCAGGGGTCATTTTTGTGTCGAGCAGTTTGGGAAAACGGCAATCATTCGCACGCATTTGCAAAATTGCAAAAGTCCGCTGAAATTCACAAGTATCTGCCGATAATGATAAGTATTCATGAAGGCAAGCCTAACTAGGAAAAATCGCACTACAAAGACTCTTTATATTCTAATTGAAATTTTTAAATTGAACCTTAACCAAACTGGCCACATGCTTTGAAGCTTTTGAAGGTTCACACAGCGCTGGCTGCACGCACCACGCATCTCTATGGAGGGATGGCGTGATCACAAAGGTGACCTTATCTGTAGTGTCATGTATAATTTTCTAAACCTGTTTTCAATCATAATATGCATTGCATTAAAAAATGGCTGGGTAGGGTCGGACCGGCGTCTATTGTGAAATAAAGGTTTGAGGTTTGGTTTAGGTTGGAAACCTGAATCAAAGTTTGATTCACTTAAAAATGTCAAGGTTCGCTAAGCCCTATATAGAGGCCATTCATACGTTGAGTCTGCAGGTATGAAAGGGGAGGGTTTGGAAGCAAACTCCTTTGTAAAGGGAGTACGGAAATATTTTGACTGCTCTAGTCAAAAAAGTGCATATGAAGATGACAAATTTTTCTGTTCATTATATGTGACTGGGTGAATCTGCTTTTTGAAACTCTGTTACTGATTCTGATCCATTGTAGTTCATTTCGATATGATAGCTTCTTTTAACCTGTTTGTCCTCTAGGTTAAAGCAACTTTGGGCACTGCCAATCTGAAACCTGCAACAGCCCAACAGGTTAGGCAGATAGCTTTGCAGCAGCAGTTATTGGCTGCTCAGCGAGGGCGTTTACCAACTCAACTAATGGTAAGTTATATCTTCTGTGGTAAAAATCGCTGATCTGCTATTTGTTTACAGATCTGAAGTTGCATCGTTAACAAAATATTGATAAAATTAGATTATTGACTCTGATGGATTGTCTCAGAGAAGCATCTGTGGATGGTTGATAGAGGAGTGATTGGTAGAGCCTTATTTTGTACTTTTGAAAGCTGAAAACTCCATATCTCTGGAAAAGATGAAATTTGGCTAGGAATACCACAGAAAAAAAGAAGGAAAGAGAAAAAAAATGATTATATATGCCACACAGGCTTTGAACTTGAGTTGCGCGCACGTTCGATTCACAGTTTCTGATAATTAAGACTATTTGGAGTGTCCCACAGTGAAAGACCACAAGTTGCCCTAAATCTGAAGAGTGATTTTCAAGCAAAATTGTTGCATATTTTCACATGATGAGCTCAGTTATCCATCAAAAGTTTTACCATTACTGTCTCCCTCCTTTATGTCGCCACTTTTGCAGTTTTGATTCTTGCAAATTGTAAAAATTGTTCCGGTATCTTTTTTAATACATGGAAGTTAGTTGATAAGTCAAGGAACCGTTTTTGGTAGTGAAGAGGCCAATAAATACTTCTAAATCCAACTGAATTATTTCAAAAAGTATAATTTTCATGCTGAAAATGTGGCAAGGTGGAAACTCCAAGCAGTGAAATGAAGATACCTATCAAATTTTTGCCCAAAAACTAATAAGATCATCTGAAATGCCTAAGAAGTTGTGAGAAACATTTCCAATTGGAAACAATTTATCTCAGTACAAGAAACAAGAAAAGGGTGTAACATATTTTTGTGAAAGCTGTATGATTGAGCTGTATTCATGCTAGATAACTCAATTTTGCACACTTCTGTTAAAAGTATGGTACATCATTATAACCTTAAGTTTCGGGGACAGCTCATCTATTGCAGGAAATATCTACTTTATAATATTTAGAATGTGTTTTTCTCTGAACTACAGCTTCCATTTCGTGCTCTTTTTCAAAGAAGTCTTCAAATGAGAGGTTCTGGCCCAAGGCATTAGTAAGAAGTGCTACACTGCAAGAAACTGTTCATGGGAATTTTTTGCACACCTAACTTAAATGCTAAGATCTTTAAAGGCTGAATGGCTTTGTTCATAGTAGAATCTAGCTTTTAATTCTGTTCTTACTTACTTTTTTTTCCTGCCCTAACCAAAAGCTCTTGATCTATTTTTACAGCAAGTTACCGCTGGCAAAGGAGGAGTGCCTCTCATAGTCCAAACTCCAAAAACAATTCCGACAACGATGACAATGCAACAGATCCCAGTTCAACAAATTATCAAGCCGGTCACCCATCAGGTTTCACATGGAAGTGCTGGCACAGCAACTCAAGGGCAGGTCCTATCACACACTGTTCTTGCAAAGGCACAAGTCTCGTCTGCATCCTCACCAATCCAAACTCGCATTGTTCCAGTTGCAAGCTCTCCCTCTAATCTTAAACCAACAATCCAGGTAATCATAGTCTAGTTTCCAATAATGCTAATAAACTCTTGGAGGTAACTTAATTTGCCGTGCAAGTATTCAAGAACCTGCTTTTCACCCTTGATCATCCCAACCAGGAAATGTGTCCATGCAAACAAAGTTTTTCTGAGCTTTCATTTGTGATGACTTTTTCCGCGCAAGAGTTCCCACAATCATGATCTTCTCTTTTTACAAGGGGAGGTCTTGTAGTGCCTCCCCTAGATAATTTTGATAGGAGTGTGGCCTAACGTTTCTTCATATGAAATTATTAGACCCCTATTTTGCCGTTTCCGCAAGTGGGCCCTGGAAGTTCCAAAAGAAATCGGGTTGCGGGAAGTTCCAAGCCTTCTCCTAAATTCAGTTGTCCTTCCCCGTATTTTGACCCGAATTTGTCTTGCAGACTATGAAAGAAAACAATTTTAAAAAATTTAAGAAAGAATCTCCTTAAAACAAACTTTTTCTCCCTCAACTTTGCACAAAAATAAAAATTTCAATTTCAATATATGACAGGGCTCTTCTGTTTTTTCAAGTTCTCACTGAGATTTCGTCGTAACTGGGCTAGCTTTGTGGGCAGGAAGTCTCTGTACCCTTGGTGACTTCGCAATTATGAAGGTTTTCATGAATCAAATTTCAACTTTCTAAGTTTCATTTTTGTCTTTGACTTCAGGTTGTGACTGCAGCTCCTGGTGGGGCCGTGCGTACCTCTGTTCCAAACGTAACAATTGATTCGAGTGGACGCTCTGTGAAAATGAGCAACACCGCCCAGCAACAAGCTCTCTATTCTCAGGTATTCTCGAGTTTTATTTTCCTACTTTTTGCCATAGTTGCCTTGTCTTGCCATATTTTGAATCTCTAGAGAGGACAATGTTATTTAAAGTTCAGTAAGAGTCAGTTTTTTTTTTTTTTTTCAGGAGCAATAAAATTCCATTAAAAATTTTGTTTGATCTAAGGGAGAGCAAGGAAATTGGAAATGAAAGGATAATGTCAACCCTGTTTTAAAACAAAATTCTAATCTGGTATTAGATTGAATACTGGTTCAATCTCTTGTGTAACCCATGGCAGCAAGAACGTTTAGTGCCATTCGTAGTTCAGTAAGAATGTGCTGTTACAAAACTTTGTCGAATAACATTTTTTGTGTTTAACAAAAGATTATGAATTTGTCAAATTCACGATATAAAGTCCCACTACCCTTTAATCACCCCCTTCTTGGTTATAGGTGTCTGCTGCATTACAGCAACAAAGTGGACAACAAACAGTATCGATGCGCCCCACTGGCATCAGATTACAGACAACAGGAGGAACGAATCCTCCTTTTGTAGCTGTTGCTGTCACTCTTCCATCTCCTCTTCAACAACAACAACAGCAGCAGCAACAGCAACAACAGCAGCAGCAACAACAACAACAACAACAACAACAACAACAACCGCCACAACAACAGCAGCAGCAGCATCAAAACAATGTAAGTACATATCACAAAATTGCTTCAAGTAAAACATATTATCTGTCAAGCCGGTGTCTACTGGTCTGGAAAGTCCAGAAAAAGAAAAAATTTTATAGGGGCAGTCTGAAGGCACTGAATGAGTATAGAAATTCCACTGGAGGTCTGAAATTTTTTGCTTCATTCCATGCATGTTTTTTTAGGATAGCCTGGTCTATCCAATGAAATCCCAATCCATTCTAATCTGCTCTCATTTATAAGGATATATCCTGATCCATCCAGTAGTTCTCTTTTATCCAGATCTATCACGATTTTATTCTTTTTTTTAGACTTTTCCTAATTTACCCAGTTTTTCCCAGTCCTTCCTGTTTTATCGCAATCTATTCTGGTTCATCCCCTTCCAAAAATTTTGTCCCTACTGCCACTAGATTTGGCTTTCTATCAGATTGGTGCCATCTTTTCAGGGATGATACAGTGACAAGTGAGATGCTTAAGTACGGAAGACTTTTTGGTGCATCCTCCCCCACGATGGAGGTCCACCTCCTAAGGCAAAACCCTGTACTACCTTTAACTTTTGAAGGAATCATTGAATTGAGATGAAATTTTTTTAAATGAAATATTTCAATGATACTTACCTGTACGCACCATACTTTTTTTTTAAAAAACAATTTTAATAGCGTCCCATTGCTTGATAATTTTTCTATTTTTTAAGGTGCAAAAATGTTAATTTTGCTAAGTAGCATTACTATGCAATAATTCCATTAAGATGAGATCCAGTTTTTTTAATTTCATCTCTGTTTCCTGATGGACACTCCTTTTGAGTGTCCTTGACATGCATGTTGGGAAATGTTTTTACATAGAGTTATGTTGTGTCAAAGTTGCAGTGCCCGCCTTTAGGGTCAAATGACAAGGTGCCATAAGTGGTAAAAATCCCTAAAAATTATGCCCCCGAGGCATTTACCAGTTCTTTTTTGGGTCTCTATTTACGAAGCGAAAAAATTTGAAAAGATGATTGCAATTCTTGTGGTGAGAGCCTTAAAGTTTGCAGTCAATAATTGATGGGGGGGGGAGGGGCGCACAAGCACATATTAGTAGATAAGGTTTTTGTTGGCGGTAAAAAACGAACAAAAAATATTGTCACTTTTCATTCAGTTTTCAATTATAGTGCATCCTATTAATTTTGTACTATTTGTTTTATTTTGCAGCAACAATAATCGAATTGGAAACATGGCTGTGACTTAGTAATTATTCGTAAGTTTTTTTTGTTTTTTCAATATTTCGTCTTGAATGTATATTCATCGGCCATTGTGTCTCAAGTATTTTGTTTTAATGTAAATTGTGGATTGTGAACAATTGAATACCTAACTGTAATTTTAATCTGATAGATTTAATATATTTTTTTAATCTCATGCTGTAAATAATCTGATCACAAGTAATGCAGATCAGATGCATTTTCCTTAAGCTCCCTGTATTTGTTGCCTGTAGATATTTTAAACATTTTTATTGTTTTTGTGATCTATCCAGTAATTGTAAATTGTAATTTTTTACATTTATACTGAAAGGCCTTTAGGGCAATTTTTTAAAAATTGTATTACTCAAGAAGTTTTACTGAGAGAAAAGAATCTCCGAACATGCACATATAATTTAATACTTCGGAGGACCACAGAATGTTCATCAGACGTTTTGATATGGTCTGGGTTTCATCGAACATAGTCTGAAGGTGTAAGAGAGTTACTATGCAAGAGTAAATTTTAATGGGCAGTATTAGTTTCAACTAACTTTAAGTGATAAAATTTCACAATTATCCTTGTGTGCAGGCTAGCTAGGTTCTCTTGTTAAAATGGAGCTAAATTTCATTGAAAAGGGAAAAAACTGTCCAGGGTTTCATTTGAGAAAAGTTCTTGTTTTGTCCTGAGATTTACTCAACCAGCCAAAGTCTATGTCAGCGCTTCCTACCACCACTATCCTTCTATTATTATCTCTTAAGATAAATATTCTGAAACTAAATTGTTCACTTAATCTATGGGTCATTAGAAAATGATGATATACATGTTGGCCCTCTTTTAAGTCATACTGCACATCGAGCCATTTTGATTAGTTCTCACTCACTCACTCTCCAAGCAAGGAGGAAATGTGATGGTACAAGAAGTGAGCTGTGAGCCTTGCTTACATAGGAATTGGAATAATGACTCTTAAAACATTGAATTTTTCAAAGATTTGCCTTCAGTTAGCAACAATCAATGACCTTAGATGCGAACTAGCTTATCAATATATTGAACTCAGTCCTTATAAAAAGTGTTTTAAGGAGAGAAATAGTAGAAAACAGCAGTTGTGCCAATACAGTCAACCTCCATCAAGCTGAATGCTGCGCAAGGTTAAATTTCCATTAAGTTAAATCATGCATGATCCTGTTTAATTTCTACATGGCCTATGTTATTAATTTAGGCCGAACTAAAATTTCGATCAAAACAGCACCCGCTTCACTCAGATCAAATGTCCCTTCTCAGGGTTTTTTTTTCTTACTTGCCCTCAACCATTTCGACTAAATTATTGTGAGTGTAGCGCTCACAAATATGTCAATTTATGTTTCTCACTTTTAGATCGAGATAAATTACCAACCGTTCTTCAATGATTTTCAAGCATTCAAACGAAGGCATGTAAATTGCTAAAAACTCAATAGAGTCAATTTTTATGAGTGCAAAACACTTCCTCCATTAAAATGTATGTAAAACAATCAAATCTTTGCAAGGAATCTATTTTTCCTACTTAGGATCAATATTTGTAATGGATTTAAATAGAGAGAAAATAGTGATATCATCTCCTAAGAATCATATCTGGAGCCTCAGCAGCCTAAGGAACTGTATCTTGACTATTATTCATGTTCCCGTTCCAATTCGTAGTGCAGCTTCTCCTAAGCAGTAGGACTTCCTCCTATATTTGTTTGCTCTAAAGTAAAAATCCAACTCCTTCAACGAAATTCCTTCCTCCCTCTTAACATATTTTTTTAGTATTTTTTTTTTTTTTTTTTTTTTAAATTTTAATATGTTTGATGCATTGACATTGCTGTCAACAGTGCATTTTTATTCAGAGGTTAATAGGTTTTCCTCCAGTGAGTGCCTACATACTCATTTGAAACCGATTGTCAAAAAGAGTAGAGCCTGATACAAATAAATCAGTTTATTTTTAGTATATGGCAGAAGATCCACCATATTTAAATTCTTTCGTTTTGTTTTATTGCAAGAATGTTGATGGAATTTTTTTATTCTTTCTCCCCGCTCCCCCCCCCTCTCTCTCTCTCTCTTTAAAAAATAGTTGACCAGTAGCTTACTGGACAAGGCAAACACATATTATTACTTACAGTCTCATAAGCAAAAATTTCCTGCTTAAAATTTTGAACGTATCGAAAGATTCTGAAATTAGTGGGTAGTCAAGAAATAAGCCTTATTATATAATCATTTACTTCTAATTTAGGAGACCATCAAAAATGAAAAACTTTGACCGTGCTACTTCCTGGTCATTATGTAACTGTCACCACTGTGTTAAAAAGAAACCGAAATGCAGCTGAAGTATATTCCTCCTCAGCTATCTCTCCAGAACAAGGATAAGTCTACTCAAAACAGGTTTAATGAATGAGCCGCATTGCTATGAAAGCAGCTATTTAACACTCCAATGTTCAATCATTTTCTTTTGTGACTGTGATTGATAAAAAAAAAAAAAAAAACCCTCCTGAAATAAGAACTCCCTGTCTCACCCGCATATTTTTAAAATTTCTGTTTCTTGTGATTTTGTGGCTTCTTTCTTTCAACTTCTAGTAATTGGGTTGTTATTTGCTTGCAACTTTATGAGAAGCTTTTTCATTTAAAAGCCATCCATAGATTTGTCTATGGATTGTTTTAGAAATTCATTCACTTAATACTGTTGTTACATGATGATTTTACTTGATTCCAACTGAGAACGATGACCAAAGATTTTTGAAACGGAATTTTTTCGAAGAATGGTCATGGCACTAGCATGCAGATCATTCAATTGAGTTATGTACTTCCTTTAAAACTTTATTTTATATGTTTAAAGAATGTCAGACAAAAGTTTGTTTATTAATCAGGTTGTTACAAAATCTGTTTCCACACCTGTTGGTTTAAATTGGAAATCTGATTTCAACTATCAGATTTGAAATGAAATAAAGAAATAATCTGATTTTATTCTATGTTTTTCCCTTTTTCCCTCCCCAATGCATTTTTTCTTTTTTTATTGCTCATTAGAGTTGTAAATACAAATTAAAAATGCAGAAAGCACTTTCTGTTGGAACAGTGAATAGTCAAAAATAGTTCAACATTTACTTTTCACTGCTCTCAATAAAGAAGTGTATTTCTCTTACAAAAAATCTCATGTCTTTTACTCGTTGGCATCATTACTTGTAGATCCCAAAAAAATTATAATAATTACGGAGGAACACTGATGAAAAATATAGAATCTACAAAAAAAATTTATTTTATTTTTGTTTTCTTTGAACAAATAATTATCAATGCTAAAATTCAAAAATATTCTGAAAATAAACATTGAGACATACAGAACTTAGAATCTTTGATCACACATTTTACTAAAAATAAATAGTTTTGAGGCTGAAAGCCCCAAAATTTTGAATGTTTAACATGGGCTTAAACTTTCAATCATGAAATGGAGAGGAGGACATTCAAGGTTGAGTCCAACAATAATTACACACTAAAGAAAACTACACGAACAAATATTCAGGAGCACCAATGGAAAATAACAATAGGAATCAACAGGAAAAATACTGAAGAAATGAATAACTAATAGGATTGAAGAGTTCTTCTATTTCTCAGACTATGTACATGATGAGCAATTACCTAGATGAGAACTTATGAAATCACATCAACACAGGTTCTGTAACAGAAGTAAAACCAAACATGAATTCCCCATAGTTAAACAGGACTTCATTGAGTATTTAACATCACCGAGTCTAAAACATAATGGATCATATTTTCACAAATACGTTTTTGGGCAAATCTAGAATGGCAACATCTGATTTTGAGGACCCAATTTTTTTGAGCCAGGCTTGTGGAGATAGTGTCCATATCTACTAAATTCCTGATGCACTTACCTGACTTCTCTTTGTTGCTGCAAAATTTGCCATTCAGTTTTTATTATTTTTATAAATTCTGTGGGCCTTTTTCCTGTTTTCTTTTTACTGATATTAAATATTGCGTCATAAGTGTCATTAAGGGTTAGTTATTTCAGAGAAAAAATACAATCTAATATGCAATTAAACCAATGCAGAAGAAATTCTTTCCCTTTCCGCAAGGGACTTAAGTGTCTTTTCTGAAGTCTAATTACCCAGGCAAAATAAAAAATTTGTACTCAGAGGACAAGGTAATACAAATTTTTCCTGGGGTTCGGTTTTTTGGTGCCGTCTGTAATGTTTGTCGTAGACAGATAAAGATAAGCCTGATTTATACCTTGGTCAAATTTAAACCTGACCTAATGCAGGGATGAAGTATCATGGAGCTCAAACACTTTCCTCTCTACAATAGGTTAAAGTTAGCAGATATGAGTGTAAATGATGAGGAATGGGGAGAAATTTAATCTATAAATGCAGAAAATGTTTAATTCCCAGAACTCATTTATCGGAATTTCATACATTGAGGTATGGAGTATCAAGGTTCCACTGCAGTTCTAACAAATTACAGTACACTAACTTACTTGTCAAACTCAATTTTCCTTGAGATGATGCAAGTTATTGTTGATCAGAGAATAATTATCATCATTTAAAAGATTTCCACATTTGCTAAGTAAGTCTGGGTTGTCCTTCACAAATCCTTTGAAATCTCCTGCAAAAACAAATTTTTACATAATCGTATACATTATACATTTTACATGGGCAGCAACAGTTGACATGGGTGACACACCAATGCAACCAAGCTAGCACATAGCAGTTGGCAAAAGGCACTTAGCAATACTTCCAGGACAGACATATTTCTATCATGAATATTATCCATTATTTTGCATATAAGTCGAACCCACATTTTCTCTGAAATGTTATCTAATAAATCTTCTGCAGATAAACAAAAAAAAATATACCTTGTTCCAATATCTTAGTGATCAGTTCCAAAAGCTTTAACGTTAATAAAATTATTGATGGTTAAATAATGACACCAACATGCAAGTTTGTCATTAATTACAAATTTTTGGCTGTTGTGGCGAAAGTCACACTTAGGGTCCCTTTGTAAGTAGCATTTAAATGCTCCTCCTCCTTCATGACCATGCTATCGAATAATTGTTGAAAATTATAAAAAGCACGGTTTTAAAAACCGGGAAAAGTCATGGTAACCTGTCTATCAGGCATTTAATCATTTTTTATTGTACCAAAATTCTCTTAGTTCTCTTAATTTCAGTAAAAACGGATTTTCTCTACTTAACTGGCTGTGAGGAGATGAATAATAAGCCGTATTTTTGGAATTATTTCCAGAAAAAAAGTTTTTCAAACAAAATTTGCTCAAAATAAGACCTATTATTTTATGGTGAAAATCAAGAATCACAATTTTGTTTGAAAAAAAAAAAAAAAAAAAAAATATTTGCAGTTCTAAAAATGTTCCAATCAAGCTAAAATTCTGCAGGTATTTTTTATTCTTTTCATGTATTGGCATCCACTAGAAATCATTAAGCCGGACTCTCCTAACTTTTCCAAGTGTAGAAATAAGCCCATAATGGCACCGCCTTGTGCATTTGGGGGCAGGCAATGCAGGGTGCGGATTTACCTAAAGATTGGGGTCTTACTGTTCCCCAATGGTTTTTCCAGTTTCACGCCGTGAGTTTGGATCCTATGGAAAAATACATAGGTACCAAATTTATTAAGAATACATTTTTCATCTCCTGCCTTAGAAAAATTGCTTTGACATTAACTATTCCATGTTTGAAAATTTGGCATCCCTCTGCCCTTCGGAGGGAGGAGGGAGGTTCAGATTTTTGGGCTCTAATGTTAAATCGAGGTTCTCAAGAGTAGAGATTACACCCTGAAAATTTCATGCTTTGATCTAGAGGTGTAAACGATTATCGACTTTCATCAGCCTCAATAATATGATGAATGAGAGAAATCCCTACTCCAGTTTGACAAAACAAATACACTTAGAAGTCGATAAGATTAGAACTTTCATATTTAAGACTCGCCAGTCAATGCACTCTATCTAATGAGAACCATGATAAAAATTAATATTAACACCAACTAGAATTTATCATAGAGAAAAGCTTAAGTTTTTTACAGCAGTTTTTTTCTTTTTTCTTTTTTCTTTTTTTTTGTCAGCTTACCATATGATATAGTGGACTGTGAACCTCCACTGATGTCGTCAAACAGTTGCAATACTTCATCAGCCTTTAAACACAGTAAAACATTCATAATACATACAAACTGAGAGCTATTGATTGTCCTCCCACAGAGCTGCAAAATAAAAACAAACAAGTTTTGATCAGAAAAATTAAAAATTAAGGAAATCAATTCAAAGGTGCAGAAAGTTCCAAGCCCTAACCAAATTCATGATTGCTTCCCCCTGAAGACAAAAAAAACCCTTTTAAACCCCCTTAACTCGTCTTTTTCACCTCTATATTTTGCACAGGAATCTCCCCTACCTAATTTTTAAGCATGCTTTCCTCTATAACTAGAGGTTTTTTCCCTTGTTTTTCATTTTTTTTACACCTCTAATTCGGAGTTTCGTATTACTAGGACTGGATGTTTGTTTAAAAAGCATCCATACTTGAGAGTGCATCTTGAATGATTCCTCACAGTGCACTAAGCAACCCTTATGAACTTTATTTTCACTCTTGGAGCTGGAGTTACACTAATTCTGCGATTTTAGTCGATTTCTTTGAACTCTCGTTTTTCTGCCGTACCTCTGCTTTATAGTTAAAAAGTTGAAAAAGAAAAGAGAAAATTCTGGAGTAAAAAAGTTCTCTGAAAATTCTGCATTTTGAATAAATGAATTTCCTATAGACGTACTTACCTTAAAGGCTAATTTTATGAGATTGGTGCCTTGTTTTGCTTCAGATGCAATACACACACACAACATATATTCCCTAAAATCTATCACATTCGAGGGATTCGTCTCCTGAAAAAAAGAGTTGTGGATATTAATACATAAGCCGTGAAGAAATCATCATAATCTATAGGGATGACAATTATAAATATTTATTTAAAGCAGTGCACAGGCTGAGCAATGGCTCATCAAAGTGTTTAAAAAAAAGTTAGCGACAAATTTTTGGGTTAAAATTAATGAATAATCCTATGATCTCATGCTGAGAAAATAACTTCCTCTCAACTATAAGGGTGGAAATCCAATCCAAACTCAAAACTCAGACAACCAGAGCTCTTAAAACTCAACAATATCACAGAACTGGGACAAAAATGGGAGAGCTGCATGCAGCTAGGATTTCAGATTTATGATATGCTTCCAGAGAAGCTCATACTAAGGTGAGAGCAGGAAATAAGTGGTAGGTAGCACAGTTCGTTTGCTGCGAAACATGCCATGCTGCATTGCACAGTTAATATTTGATTGGATACAGTTTAAATAGAAAACTTGATTCTTTGTTCGTACTTAAATTAATCAAATACTAAGTCGGACTTATTGATGAAAATCACATTCCTCCCCTTGACGGGTGGTATTCTTAACTGAAACCAGGTAAGCAAATGAGACAGAACTCTAATTTCTCACCAGCCCTGACTCTCACTATTAACACTGTCTAGTATGACTTATGGGTCTTCGGACTTCTGCTTTTTTGGCATGATGAATGTTGAAATTAATTAAATATTTATTGACATGCAAAAAAGGCAAAAGTCGAAAAACGCATATAACGCCCTTGATATAACTAACGATAGAAATTAGGGTTTAAGAGATTTTCTACTCCTGCCTTCTAGTTCTTTGCATGTCTCAATACAATATTGAGGAGCAGAAGGCAAAAATCTAGAGGAGAAATTAGAGGGAAAATATGAGTTTCCTGGAGACTTTGAAGGTGATTTGCTACAACATACCTGCAGGAACAATTTGAATAATTGTGACAAGTGTACATCATAATCTGGAACATTTAAAAGTGCAGAAAATTTATCACACGTGACATTTTGTACTTCAGGCGATGTCAACCAATCGGGATTTTCCTGAAGAAGTCGCTCCTCCGTGTGCCGCCGCACTAACCTGACCATACACAAACTGAATTAATTCAAACAAATTTGAGTCTTACAAAAAACTTCTTCACACAACAGCTAAAATTTGAAAACAATTTGAACAGCTACCATGCAGAGGAGTTTGAATGAGCTTGGTGATTTTCTGGTTTTGTACCAATCACGGATTCTGTGATGCACAAAGAACGGTTTTAATACAGTGGGCGAGAATAATTTCCGAAAATTTGGTGTTGAACTAAGATCAAATGGATATTTAGTCAGCATTATTTTTTCCTTAAATTAATAAAATACTAAAGCCACTCACTGGTCAGAGACTTTTGCATTAAAAACCGATGCGTTTCGGCCTACACCGGCCATCATCTCTTCTTTTAATTTTTATTTTAGTTTTCCTAACTGACTAACTAACATGCCACTTGCATAGAGCTTCTGTGCGCTCTGCAGCATCCAGCCACTACTGGTAACAATCTTGCCAGAGGTCCGTCAAATAGCAGCTCCTCATTTTTTTGCCTTACCCCATCAATTAACGATTTGGCAAGGCGTCCTCAACGTTTTTTTATATTTTGTGTTCGTTTGATTATATGGTGCTGCAGAGCAAGCAGAATAATGTGGTCAAAAAATGGCGTTACTGTTGCCTACCTATTTTCTGCTCATAGGAGAACACTATTCTGTATAGTTCTTCTTAGGGCTGAAGTAAAATTAAAAAAACAGCTCTACTTACAATGTAAAAAAAAAACAACTGAAATTTCATCATGATTTTCAGTTTCAAAAGCAGAGAAATAATTAAGCTACTGAAATTTTTATCTATTCGTTCATTCTCACTGCTAAAGTATGTTGTCAGACTCAATCAAAAGCTCGAAATCATTTTTCCATTACCAGCGAAAAAAATAAAATAAAATTAAGTATAAATTTGATAAAATTATGTATAGGATATACGTTTTCTGAATGAAAATGAAAAATTGAAAAATAACTATTAATCTCACCATCCTACCACAGTAAAGGTTGTAGCTTGTGCATAGTGTGCTTAAGAATCTAAAAAAATACAAATAAGAAGATGAACTGACAATGAACTAACCCAAGACGACTTCTCAGTTTGTGAGTTTGAATGATGATTGATGAGACTGGAATATTCATTTCTTTGGCCTTAGAAGATAGGAGACAGTCTTCGTAAGTATAATTAGTTGTAGGAACTCCCAGGGCACTGAAAAATAATGTTCTCATAAAAATCTGAAGTGCACAAATGATTGAGAAGGAAAGACATTTTTGGAAGCCATCAGAAAATTCACATCCATAACATATTTGACTGGTAGTAAGAGGCTTTAAGAATTAAAGACTGAGGAAAATAATGGACAAAAGTGGTCTCTTGACCAGCCTTGGTGCCTTTTACACTTTCAAAGACAACGATAGGTTTTCAGTCAAGTCAATAGTGTAGGTAAGTTAATACTGTAAAAGTTTGAAGAAATGTAAGGACCGATTTATAAGTCCAATAAAAAAAAAGTTGACATGAAAAAATGGAAAAATTATCTTATCTTTATGCTGAAATCCTTAACTTTACCAGGGAAACTCTGAAAAATACTTTCTAATTTTCAGAATTTTTACATGAAAAAAGGACTCATTTGATGGGTAGAAAATTTCACTATTGTCATCTACTAATTCCCTATGAAACTTACTTTGCCATGAGCAGTCTAACATTGTGAGCATATAATTTCGGATCTGCTTTCTCCGCTTCACTTGGCTTGTAAACCGGGAGAAATTCTATTTCACAGCTACTGTGTGACTGCGTTAATGTAAGCCACAACAACTTCAACCTGGAACAAAGAAGGAAAAAAAATGCCTCATTTTTTTTTTTAATACTATCTAACGTGTTGAAATTTTCCGTTTGTTTTGTTTTCTTCTTTTCAGGTAAAAATCATAAATATATAGGTACACACGGCTACTTGAATTCTCTTTATATACCTTTAATTCTGGTCACAGGCTTAATCTTTGAGTCATTGAGCACATACAGCTCCATAAGTACACTACTGTTCACTTGCGTGAAAGTCTTGTGGAATTTATAATAACAATAAGCCCCCCCCCCTCCTCCTACAAAAAAGTTCCCAGATGAGGTTATAAAACGATTAGACAACAGTGCCATTGGGGATCATCAACCACCCATTTCAAGCTATCCAATTTGATAGTGAAATCAACCCTAATAAAAAACACAAAGGATCTGAAAACCAGTAAAATGGATACTGACACAATTGGTTGCCTTACAGAGATAGTGCTAGTGGTTCAATAATTAATGAACTTACTTCAGATGTCTTTATTTCAACATGCGGTATCTGATCATCAAATAATTAATCCAAGAAAAAGAAGAGGAAAAAACAAGATAAGGTTGAGAGACGTGGTTCAGAGGACAAAAAATGTAGTGAAAGGTGATACTTACGCTCCAGGTCCATCCCAAGTCCATGTTACAGTGTCCAGTTTGTTTGGGTACCGTAAAAGGACTGGCTGAACTGGAACTCCAGGATAGAAAGCTCCAGGTTTGAATGTTATCAGACAGGACCGATTAGTGCATGTGCCTTCTGGAAAAATTAACATCTGAAACAAGAAAAACTGCGGTAAGACAGTATTCAAATAAATTTTCCAGACACAATATTGAAAAGCTACTTTAAAATGACTGCAAGGACTCTTGATTGACAGAACAGTTCTGTTGCATCACTATGTTTCTCTTGCAATTACATGCTCAACGTAAAGACTTTTCTGACTCTTCGGACAATAAGTATTTGACTCAAGAACTTCTTTTGAGTTTAAAATTTTTTTTTATGATTTTCGATTTTTAAAGGAATTATTGACAAATATTTAAAGGACAGAAAGAAAAATGGAACAGATTCTATATACCTACATGTAATTTGAAAGACAAAGCTGCATACCTGTGGCCAATCTAGATCAGATTTTGCTCTGTTGATAATTTCTTGGATGGTTTTCTGCCTTGAATTGGGATCATCCCTCCAGACATAAACAGGTTGTGTGTAGTTTATTAATTCTACCAAATGAAGAAAAGAAGAATTAATTGGTTATTAAATCAAGAATGATGTTATAATTAGAAAATATAAGAAGGACAAATCATTAGGATAAATATGAAAAATCAGCGTCTTTTTAAAGAAAATTTATGTTGTGGCATGATGGCTATTGGTAAAAGTAGTGCATTGGTGAAGGCTTGCAAACTGAATATTTAAAGGCATATACTTTTTCATTTTCTCTGGGAGAATTTTAAATAAGATTAATTGATTTCTTTGGTAAAAATTCCATGATTTTGGACTTGGAGACAACACAGTCAAATCTGTAAGTGTTTTGCAAGTTGACATAATAATTCATTTTATTACTTATAATTGTCCTTGTGTGCTTATTAAAACATTTCCTTTCGTCTTTCAAGTTTTACTTCTCTCTAACTGTAAATAATGTACAGGCAAGCACATTAATTTACTAAAGGCAGGTCATGACAAAGGCAATTGGCAAACAAAACAAATCAAAAATAAAGAGGATAACAGGAGATAGTTATTACAAAAATTGGAAGTGAAGAAACAATCGAGAAAAATATTATTAAAAGAAAAGGTGAGAATAAAAATGAAAAAGTAAAATAAAGCAAAATAATAAAATAAAACATACTTCCTACAAAAGGGTTGAGACTGCTTTCTTTTCGAACAATTATGGAAGGGAGGCCGGCAACGTAAGCAATGTTGGCATCAAGGAATGTGGAATGGGGTGCAATGACTAGAATAGGAGCCTCTGCTCGGGATGCCTGTTTACCCTTTACAATAATCTGCATGCCACCTGCATGATACGCTGCTCGGCCAAGATGACACATCCACTCTCGCACCACTCTAAAATACATATACGTTTTTCAATTTTTTGTGTAAAAAAATAACTAAGGAATTTTAAAAATTTAAACTATACTATAAAAATGCTCTAAATGAAGAGTTTATATAATTGCTTCAAAATTTATTAAAGATAAAAAACAAAGCAAAAATGATATAGTCACGCAAATCAAGTGCTAAAAATAATACAGATATAAGAAAGTCTTAATCAACAGACCAGGCATATTCATTCATTTAAAAAATCCAGGAGTGCACTATTTTGTTGCATTGAAATTTATTAGTATGACATGGGCACATCTCAGTGATAAATATTAGCTATTTCATAACACAGGATTGCAGAAAATAGTATCGAGACACCTAAAAATGTATTTCAAGAAAATGAAAGGAGAGCTCTCTTGCCGGATGCACTTCATCTGAAACTTATGTGAGAAATCATACTTTTTAGGAATGCAATTATTTAATTATTGAAAAGAAAAAGTCGTTCATTCATGCTTGATAAGAATAAGGAAGAGGGAATATGATATTCAGATTAGGATTAAGATAAATTTGATTGCATTAAATTTTCAATTTTTATGGCATGTCAAATGCGGGACGAGAATAAATTGATACCGGCAGATTTACCACAAAAAATAAAAATCAAATGGTCTGCAAATAAAAGCACTGTTTTTTTAAAAATATATGAAATGATAAAAATCATACTTTCTGCTGGACTGTGGGTAACTTATAAACTGGCAATACAGAAAAGCAATTATTTAAAGCAGCAATTTTTGCTTCAGTGATACCTACATCATACCTAAGTTTCCAAGCTTTCTATTTTTATAGTCTCTGCTTGGAAAGAGAACCATTTTTTTGGCAATTACCGAAGTTTTTGCAACCTTACTATATTGAAATATTTCGTATACTTAATTTGAGTAAGAAAAAGCAAACAAAACCATGAGACAAAAATCATTGAAGACGTTTCTTTAAACAATTACGACGAATAAAAATTATTTGGGTCCACTATAAGATTAGGAAACCAGGCAAAAATTGACTTGTAGAAAAACGGTTAAGAAGGGACTCAGATGGTCAAATGAAAAATCCAGCCAGTTGTTTTCCAAACACTCATCAAGCAAAAGAAAAAGACCAACCCCCTCCCCCCCTTAATTTCTAGAAGAGGGACATGATGATTTTAAAAAATAAGAATACGATTAGAGAAAAAATTGAGGAATAAATTCTAATGCTATTACACAACTAGTAAATTCAGCAGGTACAGGTAAAAAAAGCAAGTAGGTCTGATCCAATCTTTAAATGGGTACAAGTAAAAAAAAACCAAGTAGATATCCAATCTAAAAAAAATATTACGATATACTTGTCGCAGAAAACATGCGAAAAACAGCCAGTTTTTTTTTTTTTTGGGGGGGGGGGGGGATAAGGGACCTAAGTAAATATGTGCATTCACAAACAAACAAAAACGCAGAAGTGCGCAAAAATGTAAGGCCAACGTTACTTGAATGGGTAATAACACTACAAAAATTAAAATTGGAGATTCAAAAAAAAAAAAAAGCTCTAGGTACATATATACCTACACACTATCTTCCTAGAAATTTGAAATCAAAGCTACACATTTAAACTTCAATCAAAATCATAAAAGTGCACAGAGGTTGAGCCAAAAAACATACTGCCAAAGAAGGGCATGTTGCCGTTTTCTGCTCTAGCGACAACACTAGGAGATCCAAGAATAATGACTGGAAGAGCATCAAAGAAAGACGAGTGTGGAGCAACAGCTAAAATTGGAGCCTCTTCAGCCTTTGCCTGCGCACCCTTTACCTTCACGTAATGAAAGCCGCAAGCGAAGAACAAAAGCCGAATCACAAAACTTGCCACCGACTTCAGTTTACTGATGATTAGAGCAGCAGGGAAAAAACAACCAATCACAGATTAATCACAATTTGACAACATTTCTATAATAATCCATAAACATTAACATTTCTTGTCAAGGCGTATGCTATTAGGCGGTGTTCCACCCACTCAGGATATCTTCAGCCCATTTTTATATAGGGTGTCCAGATATTAATGCGTCGAAATTCGGGAATTGAACTTTTGGGGTCAAAGTAAGACTATTTTGTTCTTCTTAGGTCCTCGAAAGTGCGAGACCCGCGGCACGAGGCTGGAGATTCGAGGGTCGATATCTCGAAAACGGCTCGTCGAAGAGGAGAGCCCTTTCTGTTTCTTATGAGGACGCTGAGACCCCACTAACCAAATCTCGGAAGGGGTCGTGTTCCAAACCCAATTGTGTTGACGTGGAATGGCCCTTGGGTAAATTATTAGTAGAATTTTGAAGGGAACGCGATTTTAAAAATTTGCTTGTTACGATGCCTACTCTTGTCCGTAATATACGAAACCGCAGTTTCTACCACTATGACTGAGGATTCTTCATGCAATCAGTCGGAAACGCACTTACTTGCCCTTAATGCTTCGTCTCACGTGCTTCATCAATAAAGCCAGGATAAAGAAAACCTTGGCAACACCGTAGCGGATGATGTCAATCAGTTGCCTTCGTAAAAGTACCATGTGATGCCTCGGTTATGGTATAAGCTGATACTACTGGACCCTTTTTGGGGCTTTAGTAGAAGAGCCCCACCATGGCAAAATTGTCAATCAACTTCCGAGACACCCAGTGGACGCTCCGGTCCGACCCCCTCCCCTCCACACTCCCTCGCGCGATTTACGTACCCTATTGCCGTGCTGCCAAAACCCCTAAAATCAACAATCAAGCCAACGAACCAAAATAAAGTAACCAAACCTAACCTAACCTAACCTAACCTAACCTAACCTAACCTAACCTAACCTAACCTAACCTACCCTAACAAGAAAAACACGAAAAATACAAAATGAAAATAAACAACAATAAGAAAACGGAAAAGAAAAAATGAAACTCACCAACTGGCAACCAGCCGTCCACCTGAAGCGTCCACCGGGTGTCTCGAAAGTTGATCGACAATATTGCCGTGGTGGGGCTCTTCTACTAAAGACCCCGATTGTTGGCTGATATACTTAAAGAATTCGAAGATTCAAAAATGATTTGGTGATAGCCACACCACCGACGACTTTATCCACAACGTGCGCCGTGAAGTCATGCAATAAAGGCTTCTCCTACTCAAGGTAAAACAGCCTTTGCAGGTACTCAGAGATGATACAAAATAACGGAGAGTTTAAGATTACGTAAAAACATTAGGGGAGGGGCAGTAAGCATAATTACCTTCTCCAGCCCGAGATCGGCTTCTGTCTTAATTCCTCTTCGCTGAGGCCGTAGAGACCAATACACGCCAGTACCCAGACAGCAATCATTAAACAAGAAATGAAGAAAAGCCTTATGGGAAGGACCACCACAGTGAAAAACCCCGTCTGGAATCAGAAAAAATAAAAAATAGCATAAAACAATAAAAACTTCGGAAATCGGTTAGTATTGAATACCTAAACGTCTTGACATAGAAAGAGGACGATGAAGGAGATGAAGAAGAAAAAGAAACAATTAAGGGGCTTGGAGGACAAGGCGCATGAGTGCAGTTTTTTCTATTTCGAGAAATACGTGATTGAAGTTTCGAAATTACGTGGGTGCTTACGGCGGAGAGAAAGTTCAAACCGACTTTTTGATGCTTAAAAATTGGAGTTTGGGAGCGAATTTGTCACAGAATATGCATCAAAACGAGTTTGACTTAAAATCATAAATATCTAATTTTTTTAAAAAAAATTGCGCTTCAGCGCCTTGTCTTCCAAGCCCCTCAATGAGTCTAAAAAAACAAAAATTTATGGTGATCGGCAATCGGCATCGTTGGTCCGAATAGTGTTTCGCAAGGCACCTCAAACGTCATTGCCTCTGAATTTAAATTGCCGATTCGAACCGCGCGCACTCGCTAGCAAACGCTTGCAAATGCGGAACCTGCAACGTCCCGACTCCTGAGTATAAGGCACAGCAGCGGGGCGTGACCCTACGTTTCGTTACTGTTACGAAACGCTGATCATAAATGTGACACTGACAGTGATTTTCGTTCGGCTGCCAATACAGCAATCCGTGGCTCAAACTCGGGGGTTACGTTTTGACATCACCCGCGCCAAAAGCGCCACCTGAATTCAAATGAGCCCCCTCCCTCCCTCTAGACACACTCGCGCAAAGTCAACCAGACACGAGCTGTTTACTTTTCACTTCATTATTTGACTCAAGCGGCTGACGATGAGAAGGGCTGTTGACCGAAATGAATTTGAACAGGTTCGACTTTAGAACTGAGGAATTTCGGTTCGGTTTTGGTCAAAATTCATGGGGGGGGGGCGGCGGCACGCCCTCCCCGTTTGTCCAAAAGAAAGAGGGAGAACAACGGAAGTTCAACCCTCCGACGGCGCTAAGCACCCACTGAGGGTTGAAATTCGTAACGACCAGGGGGCGTGGCCCCCTAGTATTCCGTACTGAAAAAAAAGTTACGAGCTATATTGACATACCGTTCGCTCCACGCTCAGGGGCCAAAAGTTCCGGGTGCTGGAACCGTGCTTTCGACTGCTCCATGTGGTACGCCCGGAACTTTCGGCCCCTCTGAGCCCAGAACGTGGACGGTTTGTCTGCATAGCCCGTAAGTACAGCTTCCGAGGCCGGAATTTTTTTCCAGTGAAGAGAGCATAATCTTATTTTGTTTTCTACAATAAAACACGCTAACCCGGTTGAATAGCCAGTTTACCTGTGTCATGCGGTTTCACTCCTTCGCTGGGGATTCAAACTTCATTAAATCGAATTAGGTATGAAGTCTGCAGCTTTTACCGCCATTCACAACAGTATCAAGAATGTCAACAGTTAGGATTGACGATGTCACTCACCATACAAGGTGCATTGAAAAAAAAACAAACTCCGGCTGTGGAAGTCGTATTTACGGACTATAAAGACATACCGTCCGCGTTCCGGGCTCGGAGGCCGAAAGTTCCGTGTGTATCGCCCGGAGCAGTTAAAGATACGGCTCCGGCACCAGGAAATGACGGTATGTCTATGTAGCCCGGTACTTGATTTTCAGTGTGACACGCTTCACCTGAATTGCCATGTAATATCACCTCACCTTAGTTACAAGAGGTGACTTTTGGAACAGGTGAGGCGGCATCACCTAAAAATTAAAAGCGATGTCATCTGAAGAGTTTAGGTGATATCACCTCACCCGATCCAAAAGTCACCTAATCTAAAGTTAAGGAGGGTGGTCAGTTTTACGAGGGTTTTTGATTGTGGCATTACTTTCCCTACGCGGGATGGTGCTTTAGTGGATGAAGCAGAAAATAAGTAATGGTTCCTCGTTGCAAAATGTAGTCCGACTGTGAGTCACCTCACGAGCACTTACAACGTGACGCCACATCGAAGGTGTGTTCATATCGTTTGAAGATAAGATTGAGGAATAAACTCCAAAGCTTTGTCGTCGAGCAAGACTCTTTTCGAAATATTTGAGCCTATTAAGGATCAAGACCACGAGACAAGGTCTATCCTCGAGCAAAGTCTTTCACGAGTCCTCATCAAAATCCATAGAAAACATTCATCGCGATGAATTTTTCTGGAATTAACGTGAATTGCCCGTGACTTCAAATGAGGGGTTTGGAGGACAAGGCGCACAAGTGCAGTATTTGCTATATTCCCCCATAGAAGAAAATATTCCCCCAGCGAGGAGAAAATTTGCAATTTTTTATTCGCAGAGGATTCAAATTTGATGCGGGAAATCACTTTTGTTTCGGACACCATGTCTGCAATATTCTAAGTTTAAAACTTCGTAAAAATCAACTGTAAAACTGATAATACGTTCTCAAGCGGTTTAGCTTAAATGCCTATCAAAGAATAAATTCAGAAAGTACGATTCTTCATAGAGAAAATAAAATTTAAAAGTTGAAACAAAATCGTTTCTAAAGTAGCCGATAATGAAATTGTGATTTTTTTTTTTTTAAGAAATGCTATTGTACTGCTACAGTAAGTTTTCTTTCTGTAGAGAAAATGTAGCAAATATCTCCATACCAACCGTTGGAGGTATATAGTATCACTCCTGCGGTATAAAACGGTAACATTTTTTGGAAAAAAACGGCGATCAGCAAGAATTCTGTTAAAAATTATGCGTTTTTATTGCCAGTTTTTTTCTAAAGGTTGTGTGTTACACGCATTGGAAAAATTGCCCGGTCCGTGAATTGGGAAACATTTTTGCCCGTCCACCGACTGGCCATCCCCTTGTCCAGACTCCAGTCTGCGAACTGGCCAAGGTTCTTGCCCAGTCTGAGAAATGGACAGCCAGTTCCCAGACTGACCGGTCAAACGTCTGAAAATTGCACCAAGAGGGCGTGCCGTTGATTTTAAGTGCAATCTATACGCTAACCAACTATCACGAAAGTCCCGTGCAAAAACTAGACTGGGTTGATCGCGGCGTCTAGATGCAACTATTCGTGTCCCATGATTGCGCGTGTTGCCCATTTTAAAAATTGAAGGCGCTCCCGACTCCCACTTCTTTGATTTCTTCGGAGATGCACGGGACTTCGTTAGTTGTTGCACCCAAATAAGAAAGTGCCTAGGGACAGTATTGCCAGTTACACGAGGCTAGAGCTGGAGTATGCCAGTAAATCGGTTAGTTTCTTCGACCTACGAATACTGCACTGCCATGCTAGGAAGAACGCCGTATGAACATTCGAGAGTTGTTTAATAATTTCATGGGGAAAGAAATTTATTTTCGGGGAGAGTTACGAATATTCTGTCTTAAACTTTTCAGATAAATTAGATCTGAGCGTGATTAAAATTCTTTTTAAAATTTGAGGATACATATTTTCGGATTTCTCTGAAGATTCATATTTTATCAAAGGAAAGGAAACGACTGAAGGCGCATGAGGCGTTCCTTCTCAGCGCGGCAGTACTCTGAGTTGGTTGTTGCGCCTTGATGCAACTATTCGGGTTTCACGGATGTGCGTATTGCATGTTCAAAAATTGAAGGCGCTCCCGTTTTTCTCACCTCTTCAGAAATTCACAGGAATCGGGAGTTGTCATTAGTTGAAACCATTCGTTATGATAAAGACACGCTTAGAGTTTGAGGGCCTATACCTTAACAGCTCTTAGGAATCCTGATGATTTGACGAATCTACAGGAGCACTGACCGTTATCGCGCGAAACCCTGACCACGCCAACTTTTCAATTTGCAATGTGGTATTTCACACGCGTTCATTGTATCCGTCTTCCATGGATGAGTTTAGAAGGTGCATTTTCCACTCATTGCTAGGGCAGTCCCGTGCATTTCGCACACTTGTGCACACCATTATCTCGCCCACATATTTGTGCGAACTCATTGTGATATCTTCTCGACGATGCACTCAACTGATCCGATAGATCATTTTCGCTCATTCCGGGCGGTGGGTGCATTTTCTGCGGGTGCGATAATGCATCCGTCCCGGTGCACTCGTCAATTATTTCGTTGTGAAGCTCCGATGCGTCGCTCGTCAGTCCTGAGTTTTCTTTCAATTCTACAAGTTTACCATCTCGAGATTTAAACCATACAGCCGCAATCTTTCCCACGAAAAGACGGATAACAATAAATTCACCATGACGCCCCGTTGAAAAAGACAAGCGGGAGGAATTTATTCTAATATCATGTGGATCACTACCGATATCCGTTCGATCTCTATTGATGTCAGTTGGGTCGCAACGGTTATCCGTTGATCTCTAACTCTCGGTTAAATCATTATAGATGCGAGAAAAACGTTTCTTTCAGGGGTTGCTCTATTTTGAAATTGGTTGCTCTATTTTGAAATTGGACGGATTTTTTAACACATTGTCTTGTTGAATTAATCTCTAAGTTAAGAATTTTTTCAGTTGTGGACAGAGAGGCATAATCCAAAACTCAGGGCTGGATTGATGGGCTTGCAGGACAAGGCGCATAAGTGCAATTTTAGCTATTTCAAGAAATATGCGTTTGAAGTTTCGAAATTATATGGATCCTCATGGCGGAGAGAGAGTTCAAACCGACTTTTTGATGCTTAAAAATTAAAGTTTGGGAGCGAATTTTTCACAAAACATACATTATCTGACTAGATTTACTTGAGATCATTAATAACTCAATTTTTTCAAAAACTGCACTTAAGTGCCTTGTCCTCCAAGCCTCTTGATTAAAGGTGGCACATGTCAGGACCGGCTGCGTAGGCGCCATTACAACGAGGGCAGTGCAATGAGAGAAGAGAAGGAATGAAGAAGAAAAGAGGGGAAAAGAAATGAAAAAATAAGGGGGGGGGGAAAGAAGAATACAGACACAAAGAATGATCAAATTAGGAGGAAAATATTTCTTTTTAAATGACACCGAAAATTCAGCTTAGATTTCTTCAGAGTTCACAGAGTCCCCGGAGATGACCAAAAGAAAAATGGG